AAGAGCCACCAACCATCAACTACGTTCACCCTAGGTTGGGGAACTGCGTCGACGTAGTTGCCGGTGGATCTCGAAGATGCCATCTCCGCGACCATTACAGCTATCCACTGAAAGGCCAAGGGTCACGAGGTCGCCTCAGCGTAAGTGCGAGGGGTTGGGATGTCAAGGGCGTCTCGGTCACCCTCAGGGACTAGCAGCACGGAGCATAGATGAGGAGCAGCCTCAGACAGGAAAGCGAGCTCGCACTGCCGGTCCTGCAGGACGTCACTGCGAAGGGCAGCAGCACCCCCGATGGACAAAGGACGGGCAGGGTCAGAGACGAGAGCAGTGGCGTAGTCAAGACGGCGGGTAGAGGTAACGTCAGTGATGGCAGCGACAAGAGCAGAGAGACTAGAGACAGGAACAGACGGGTCCGTAACTAGGGAGGCAAGGACTCGTGGAATAAGAGAACTAGTGGCACAAATGAAGTCAGACAAAGGAGGCGGAGCGATAACAAGCGACGACGGAGGAGGCGACGGGAGGAGGGGAGGACGAGACATGTGGGAACAAAGCAACATAGGGTGAGAACATGGAGCAGGAGAGACAGGACGAGCACGAGAGGCACGGCGAGACCACCAGCGGAAGGGTGGGGTCGGGTCAGGAGAAAGGGTGGAGAAATAGGAGGAGAACAAAGAAGAAGCGAGTCGGAGACGAGTCCGACGGAGAGGAAACACAGGGTCGTAGACAGGCGGGGGAGGCAGCGGCGGGGGAGGCGCAGGCGGGTGGTCATGGGAGGGAAGACTGAGGAGGAGAAGGGCGGACACCGGCGGCGACTACTGCTTCTCCGCGCCGACACCAGAACCTCCAGCTGCAACACGGCTACCTCCGGGACGCTCCACGCCAACATCCCTAGAGAGAGAACCCTCTCCAGCACCGGGGCCATCCCCAGGACCGCCGGGACGAGCCACGATAGTAGCCCCAGGACTAGCACCCCCATAATGAGCTCCCTCTCCAGCACCAGTGCCACCCCCAAGACCGTCGGGACAAGCCATGACAGTAACCCCCCTTACTAACACCCTCCTCAACGCCCGCACCCCCAGAGCTCGCGGACCCCTGCGGTGGCTGCGTCAGCGGCGGCAGCGACTGCGGCTGCTAGTGCGTCTATAATAGCAACGACGACAGTTGCTGCTGCGGTGGTGACGGTGGCGGCTGCTGCGACGGCGGAGGAGGAGACACTAGGGCAGAGACAGGCGGCGAGAATGGAGCCGCAGGGCCCCCAGAGTCAGCCGACTCCTCTACCACAACAACCGACGGGAGGGGAGTGACGTGAGACACATCAGACGGGGAAGGACGGGAGGAAGAGGAGCAGGGGCTACTGGGGGAGTGGGAACCAAGCACAGGGGCTCGGTAACTAGGAGAACTCGGTGGGAAAAGCGGGTGTACAAGGAGACAGACTCGTGAAATTTGACGTCACGAGAGTGAAAGAAACGGTGAGACGGCGGGTGGTAAAAGTGCCTGTCAGACGCGTCAAGAGGGAAACCAAGGACGTCACAAGGGACGGTGCGGGCAGTGAGCTTGTCCTTGCCAAAGGCACGAACGTGAGCAAGGCAACCCCAGACGTGGAATGTAGACGCGTCACTAGCAGAATCGGTCCAGAGGAGGGTCGGCGAAACCTGCGGCCGCAGGGAGTGTGGCTACAGGATAAGCTGGTGAGCAGCGTAGCGAACAGTGAACGGCCACTGAAAATGGGGTGTACCGTCATGGATCATGGAGGTACGAGCCACCTCGATGACCAAACCGATGTGTCACTCAGCGACCCATTCTGTTGCGGGGAGTCTGGCAGGGTGTATGACTGGGTGATGCCCTCCGCACGACAAAACTCGCCAAGCCGACCGGAGGCGAACTCGCCACCACGGTCAGAGTGGAGATGCGGCACGGAAAGGCCGCGGTGGACTCGCGTAGCTATGAACTACGGGATAAGAACGTTAGGGACATCGGCCTTACGCTCCAGGGGAAACAGCGTGGTCTAGCGCGTGTTGTCGTCGACAAGCACTAGAAAGTAGCACTCTCGACACAACCCATGGACGGGGGCTGGGCCCCAGACGTCCAGGTGCAGGGTCTAGAGTGGCGCAATGGTAAGGGAAAGTGAGGAGGAGTGAGGAGCACGACGCAGTCGGCCTTCGATGCAGGGCGTGCACCGCAACTCAGGAGAGGGATGGAGGGCAGGGAGCGATGCAGGGAGACCTAAGACAAGACCATGATGGGACATGTGATGCAGACGGGGGAGTGCGGGGTGACCTAAGCGGTGGTGCCACAGCAATGACGGATGGGTGAGTGACCGACACGAGCAAGCCGCAGCAACCTGGAAGGGCGAGGCGACCTGGGGGGACGCTCCCTCCGGGGGGATGCTCCCTCCGGGGGGGACGCGGTGTCTAGGGTGAACAGGCCAGACAACGGGTCCCGGGGGAACGTGGTGAGAGGAGCCTCAGTGGCGGCCTCGGTACAAACTGTGTACCGCTCGTGTCCAAGAAAAGTAGTGGTGACGCCAAGGTGCTGAAGACAGCTGGCACCAACTAGGTTTCCTGGAGAACAAGGGGATGTGCAAGCCTGTAAGAGAGCCCGAGGGAACCGCCGGACAGGGAAGGGTAGTGGAGCTACGTGCAACAACTGGACCTGAGGAGGGGTCAGCAAGGGCTACAGTGGCAGGAGCGACAAGCGGTGTGAGTACAGTGTGGTTGCGAAAGAAGGAGGCGGACGCACCAGAGTCGAGCGTGAAAAAGAGAGCGCGGCAGTAGCGTCCGCAGGCGGAGGAGCTAGAGTCGAGCCGAGGCTAAACAAGGCAGGTGATCCTACGCCTAACGCAGAAGGGGAGCCTAGATTACACACAGGGGGCACACCTACACTAGGCAACATATGGTAATAAGGTCCAGTCATACTATAGTCATCCGCATACATGACATACGTAGCAGACCTAATCTGATCCATATCCAGCTCAAAGATAGGCACACGGCGTCGGGCGGCGGTGTGACCGGGACGGTCGAAGACGGTGCCGCGGCGGGGGCCGGACCGAAGCTGGTACTGGCAGGTGACCACACTAGAGCCGCAACCCGACACTGAGCTATGCGGCCCACCACCGCGACCACCACCACCAGCGCCGCCAGCCCACCACGGCAGTGGGGATCCCCATGGCTGCTGCTGCTGCTAAGGCTACTGCTGTTGCTCCAGGGCATCAGCCTTGGTCCCCTCGTCTGCACCACAGTCCCCGCCACCACCTGCGCCACCCCTAATGAGGTAAAGGGTAGCACAAAGCGGCGGCAGGAACGCAGTGAGCTGTGCCTCAGGGAATAGCATGGGGAGGATCAAACGGCCGACAGAGGTGGAGGAGGGAGTGGAATAGCGCGCAATGACCGTATCTAAGTACTCCTTCGCATTCGCTACAGCGGTAAAGTGGGAACACTCAGACAGTGGGAGGGCGTGACTACTGGCAAGTTGTGTGACAGCGTCGCGCGACTCCCAAACCGCGCGGGCAAGCTCAGCAGCGGCAAAGGCCTCACGCTCAGCAGACGTGGGGGCCTCAGTGAGGGCAGCAGGCGCGGCGGGGCAGGGGAGCTTACCGTCGACATGGACGGCCAAGGAGTAGTCGTCCTGGCGCTGACCGGCCAGCTGGCGGCGACGGTCGACGAGCCACGCCTCAAAATCAAGCGCCCGACCCTCCGCGTCTAGGCAGAGTACAGAGTCCGCCATCATTACGGCTGCAGCAGCTGACTGCCGCTGTAGGGGGAGGAAAGTGGCGAAGGGCGGTTGAGAGCGGTGGAAAGCGTTGGAGAGCGGTGGAATGCGGTGGAGAGCGGTGGAGTGCGGTGAAGAGCTGTGGAGTGCGGTGGAGTGCGGTGGAGTGCTGTGGAGAGTGGTGGAGTGTGGTGAAGAGCGGAGACAGCCGGCGAGAGCGTCGGCTTAGAGGGGGGCCAAGGCCGGCAGGTCGGGGCGGCAGAGCGGCGCGGCGGCTCAGCGACACGGCGTCACGGCGGCGCTGCGGCACGGCGGCGCGGCGACTCGGCAGCACGATGGCTCGGCGGCTCGACTGCACGGGGGCGGCGCGGGCTGGGGCCGGCGGAGCTGGGGACGGCGGAGTTGGGGGCCGGCGAGCAAGGGGTCGGCAAGCTAGGGACCAACGAGCGAGGGGCTGGCGAGCGTGGGGCCAGCGAGCGCGGTGCCAGCGAGTACGGGGCCGGCAAGCGCGGGACCAGCGAGCGCAGGGCTGGCGGGCGCGGGGCAAGCGAACGAGGGGCCGGAAAACTCAGGGCCAGCGGGCGCGGGGCTGGAGGGCGCGTGGCCAGCGAGTAGGGGCCAGCGAGCGGGGCCAGCGAGCTAGTAGGGGGCCGGCGAGCTAGGGCCGGCGGGCGCGGGGCTACGGGCGGCCGGCAGCAACGGGCAGCTGGCGGCTACGGGCGGCCAGCGGCTACAGGCGGCTGGGGGCTAAGGACGGCACGAGGCGACGGGCGGCCAGTGGTGGTGAGCGGCAAGTGGTTAGCAGAGGCAGCTAGCGACGTGCAGCTAGGAGCGGGCGGCTAGCGACGGGCGGCTAGGGCTAGGACTAGGACTAGAGCGGAAGCGCAGGTGGGCGGGGAGGACCTAACCTAGCGCATGATACCATCTCAGAGTAACGAATGAACTAGAATGAGTGATACATGGTGGTTTTGTCCTAAGGTGTTGTACTCTCTATGAGCATGCACCTATCTAGCCTATAACATACACAAATATATGTTGACAGAAAAATGTGCTCCTGCATAGTTGGCAATTGAAAATTTCACAACTAGCATGTTTCTTCTAACTTAGCCTCTAACATCTATGTCACTCACTCTAACCACACCAATATCATCGTAGCTGTAATCTTCACGAGTGTTTCTCTAACAGGCGTCAGTTCCGCTCTTCCAAGTCAATCAGCATTTGCTGCACTGGCGTGGAATCCCATCTTGCCACGCCAGATATTAAAAGATCCCCGCTGTTCTGGGTCAAGACTCGAGGACTCGTCCCACAGATCCATGTACAGTACCTTGCTGCTGCTCTGCCTGGGAGTATCTGCGACACACCGAGCATTTCCTGCTGGGATTTCAGGCTAAAGCCCTCAGTGCGGTGTCTTCGCGCCACGCGCCATCACAATCCACCACTTTGAGCTGCCACGCTACACGTCCAGCCTAAGGATAACATCGCGTCGTACGCGTAAAGATAGTGTCTATCGACCCACGTGGCCTCGGCGTCATGGCCGCGCCTCGCGAGGTATTCGTTATAGGCACCATGGATACTAAAGCGGACGAGCTGCTCTTCCTCGCGTCGCAGCTCAAGCACTCTCTTACCTCACTTTCCTCCTTAAACTCGCCGCACCCGCTGCCGCACCCACCGGAGCCGCCTTTCTCCATCGTTCTGGTCGACGTCTCCGCGTCGCCGACCTCCTCGCCTCCCGCTACAAGCACACCTCTCTCTACAATCACTGTCGCTGACCTCCTCGCGTCAGATTCCGGCGCCACCGCGAAATCCGCCGCGTCTCTTGCCGCGGATCGCGGAGAGGCGGTGCAGGCGGTGAGCGACGCGCTCAAGCGGTTCGTGCGGGGGAAGTGGGAGGGGGGCGCGCTGGCGGGCGCGGTGGGGATCGGGGGGAGCGGGGGAACCGCCATCATTGCGCCTGCCCTGCGCGCACTGCCGGTTGGCGCGCCCAAGATGATCGTCTCCACTGTCGCGAGGTGCGTCACTGTCGCGAGGTGCGTCACTGTCACGAGGTGCGTCACTGTCGCGAGGTGCGTCACTGTCGCGAGGTGCGTCACTGTCGCGAGGTGCGTCACTGCCGCGAGGTGCGTCACTGTCGCGAGGTGAGCCACTGTCGCGAGGTATTTTGCTGTATCGAGGCGAGACTGTAGCGAGGCGAGGTGACTGTAGCGAGGTGTGTAACTGTAGAGGGAGTGGAGAAGGGGCCCTTCCCCACCAGTGAAGCGCCCATACGCCAGACGCATCGTGTCCACCCCTTCCCCTTCTGCCTCTCGTACGCCTCGTCCCTTCATCACCTCTTTTTCGTTACTCGTGGCGCCCCAATCACCCTCCCCCCCCTCCCCGCTTCCTCTGCACGGCCCCCAGCCGCAACACGGCGCCGGGCATGGGCGTGTGGGACCTCGTTCTTGTGCGCCCAACATTCTCTCATCCACCGCTTTCTCTCATCCATCGCTTTCTCTAGTCGCCCTCGCCCTCCCTCCCTTCCCGTGTCACCACCCACCCACTGCCACCCTCCTCCCCCCCTCCTCTCCCCTTAGTGGCAACACAGCGCCCTACATCGACACGTCGGACCTGGTCTTGGTACCATCCATCGTGGACGTGGCGGGGCTCAACGCCATCCTGCGCGCCGTGCTCTCCTCCACCGCTGCTGCCCTCGCCGGCATGCTGACAGCGTGGGCAGCGCTGCCCACCCAGCAGGCGTCGGTCGCGGCGCCCGCTGCTTCTCCAGCTGGGTGTGCCCCTGTGACGGTGGGCGTCACCATGTTTGGGGTCACCACGCCGTGCGTCACGGAGGTGCAGCACCTGCTCACCAGCAAGGGCGGCACGGGAGGCGAGGGCGGTGCAGAGGGATTGGAAGTGGTGGTGTTCCACGCGACGGGCACAGGCGGGAGGGCCATGGAGGAGAACGTTGCCTCGGGACTCATTCAGGTGCGCCACTGGCTTTGGACTCATGCCACCGCAAACCCTCCTTACTCCCTCACTTTGCCTCTTGCTTTCGGCTCATCTAGGTGCTCCCCACTAACCCTCCTTACTCCCCGCCTCACCACTCTCCCTCTCTGCATTCCCTCTCCCCCCACTCCGCAGCCAGTGCCGGACTTCACCACGACAGAGGTGCCACACCTCATAGTGGGTGGCACCATGCCGTGTCCGCCCTCCAGATTCTACCATGCCCTCTCACAACATCCCTGGCTCTCTTCCCCTACCGGCTGACATCGCCAGGCAGTGTTGGACATCACCACAACGGAGGTGGCGGATTTCATAGTGGGCGGCACCATGCCGTGCCTGCCGTCCAGATTTGATGCCGCCATTCAGAAGCAAGTGCCCCTGGTACTGAGCCTGGGGGCGCTAGACATGGTGAACTTCGGAGCAGCTTCCTCTGTGCCCAAGGAGTTTGAGGGGCGCAAGTTGCACGTGCACAACCCGCAGGTGAGCTGATGCGGTGGTATGTGACGGGACAGGACAGGTGCGCAAGATGCACATGCTGATGCACTCTGACCCTCGAACACTTCGACCGTTAGCCACTTTGACCGTCAACCACTTTGACCGTCAGCCACTTTGACCGTCGCAAGTTGCACGTGCATAAAACCCAGGCGAGTTCGTCAAGTCCATGTGAAGTTTATGTCAGGTGTCTCAAGGCGTTGAAATGTTGCGCCTCCCAAACTTACGATTCCCCCAGGTCACCCTCATGCGCATTAGAGCCGACGAGAGCCGTCACTGTTGAGTTTGTCACGTGTCTGTCGGGTGAGTGTCAGGTGTCTGACAGGTGACTGTCAGGTGTCTGTCAGGTGACTGTCAGGTCTGTCAGGTCTGTCAGGTGACTGTCAGGTCTGTCAGGTCTGTCAGGTCTGTCAGGTCTGTCAGGTGACTGTCAGTTGTCTCACCCTTTCACCCTCTGCACGTCGCTCTCCTCCCTAACCCACTCTCCCCAGGTGACTCTCATGCGCACAACAGCCGACGAGAGCCGTCGGATCGCGCGCTTCATCGCGGGCAAGATGAACCAGTCGCAGGCGTCCGTCACTCTGCTCATTCCCGAGGGCGGGCTCTCTGCCCTGGACGCCCCTGGCATGCCCTTCTGGGACCCTGAGGCTGACGCGGCTCTGTTTGAGGAGCTGGAGAAGGAGGTGCAGCACACAGAGAGCAGGACGGTGAGTCGTTTCTGGGCCCCAGACCCCCTCCTGTGCTCTACATCCATCCTTACCGTGACTCCTGCAACATGCTCTCTTCTTGCGGCATACATTCCCCCCACCCCCGCACTTTGGAGAGGGGGATAGAGACGAGGAAGAGGCCAGGAGGAGAGCGGGAAGGCGAGTCATTTCTCGGCCCTTGACAGCCTCCTGCGCCGTACACTCGTCGCTCCTGTGGCTCTTGCGCCGTACACTCTCCTCCCACACACCTTCTGTGGCCCCCTTCCCCCCTTCCCCCCTTCTCCCCTTCCCCCTTCCCCTCTTCTCCCCTTCCCCCCTTCCCCCTTCTCCCCTTCCCCCTTCCCCCCTTCTCCCCTTCCCCCTTCCCCCCTTCCCCCTTCTCCCCTTCCCCCCTTCCCCCCTTCTCCCCTTCCCCCCTTCCCCCCTTCTCCCCTTCCCCCCTTCCCCCCTTCTCCCCTTCCCCCCTTCCCCCCTTCTCCCCTTCCCCCCTTCTCCCCTTCCCCCCTTCCCCCCTTCTCCCCTTCCCCCCTTCCCCCCTTCTCCCCTTCCCCCCTTCCCCCCTTCTCCCCTTCCCCCTTCCCCCATTCTCCCCTTCCCCCCTTCCCCCTTCTCCCCTTCCCCCCTTCCCCCCTTCTCCCCTTCCCCCCTTCTCCCCTTCCCCCTTCCCCCCTTCTCCCCTTCCCCCTTCCCCCCTTCTCCCCTTCCCCCCTTCCCCCCTTCTCCCCTTCCCCCTTCCCCCCTTCTCCCCTTCCCCCCTTCCCCCCTTCTCCCCTTCCCCCCTTCTCCCCTTCCCCCCTTCCCCCCTTCTCCCCTTCCCCCCTTCCCCCTTCTCCCCTTCCCCCTTCCCCCCTTCTCCCCTTCCCCCCTTCCCCTCTTCTCCCCTTCCCCCCTTCCCCCTTCTCCCATTCTCCCCTTCCCCCTTCCCCCTTCTCCCCTTCCCCCCTTCCCCCCTTCTCCCCTTCCCCCCTTCCCCCCTTCTCCCCTTCCCCCCTTCTCCCCTTCCCCCTTCCCCCCTTCCCCCCTTCTCCCCTTCCCCCCTTCCCCCTTCTCCCCTTCCCCCCTTCCCCCCTTCTCCCCTTCCCCCCTTCCCCCCTTCTCCCCTTCCCCCCTTCCCCCCTTCTCCCCTTCCCCCCTTCCCCCTTCTCCCCTTCCCCCCTTCCCCCCTTCTCCCCTTTCCCCCTTCCCCCCTTCTACCCTTCCACCCTTCCCCCCTTCCCCCCTTCTCCCCTTCCCCCCTTCCCCCCTTCTCCCCTTTCCCCCTTCCCCCCTTCTCCCCTTCCCCCCTTCCCCCATTCTCCCCTTCCCCCCTTCCCCCTTCTCCCCTTCCCCCCTTCCCCCCTTCCCCCCTTCTCCCCTTCCCCCCTTCCCCCCTTCTCCCCTTCCCCCCTTCCCCCCTTCTCCCCTTCCCACCCCCCACCCACCTCGTTCGCTATCAGGTGGTGCGCCTGCCCCACCACATCAACGACCCTGAGTTCGCTGCTGCCGTCGTCAGCACTCTCCTCCCGCTCCCTCCATCCCTGAGCCCCCCCCCCCCTGCTGCCGTTCCTCCTGCCGCCGCTCCCCCTGCTGCCGACCCTTCAGCCTCTGATGCTCGCCCTCCCCATCCCTCTGAACCAGCACCCGCCATCACACCAACCCCTGCCCCCTCCACTGCTCTCCACCCCTCTGTACCCCTCTCCTCCACTCTCGACCTGCCTCCTGCTCTTGACCTCTCCCCCATCCCCTGGCTGGTCAGCCGCCGCACCGCCATTCTCCACTCTCTGCGTGCGCAAGTGGTGGCGGGGCGGGCGATCATAGGCGGTGGGGCAGGCACGGGAATAAGCGCCAAGTGCGAGGAGATGGGCGGCGTGGATCTCATCGTGATCTACAACTCTGGGCGGTTCCGCATGGCGGGGAGGGGGTCCCTGGCGGGGCTGCTGCCGTTTGCTGATGCCAATGCTGTCGTGGTGGATATGGCAAAGGAGGTGCTGCCGGTGAGTGTGACTGTGATGTAAGTGTGCAGAGTGCGCTTACAGTGCGCAGTCTGGTAACTATGGTGTTTGTGAGTTCTCAGAGACCGCACTCACCAGCCTGCTGCTGGTTGCTCATGCAACACTGCAGTGGGGCACATGGCCAGTGGGGTGCTGCTGGTGAGTGTGACAATTATGGGTGCCACACACGCACGCACGCACTGTCTCTCACACATGCAATGTCTCCCCCCAACTGCCCCTCTGCCCATCCCCCCATCTCTGGTGTGTGACGCTAGAAAGCCTGTGCTAGCACGCGTGTGTGCCACGGACCCCTTCGCCAGGTGCCTCTCTTCCCACGCCCCTCCAACATCCAACGCCCCATTTCGCCTCTCTTCCTCCCTACCTCCCCACGGCCTCTCCCCTCCCTCCAGGTGGTCAAGTCCGTCCCCGTGCTAGCAGGCGTGTGCGCCACAGACCCCTTCCGCCAGATGCCTCTTTTCCTGCGCCACCTGGCCGCCCTTGGCTTCGCGGGCGTGCAGAACTTCCCCACAGTGGGGCTCTACGATGGTTCCTTCCGCACCAACCTCGAGGAGACCGGCATGGGCTACCCGCTCGAAGTCGCCATGATCAAAGCGGCTAATTCCCTGGGGTTCCTCACGACGCCGTACGCGTTCAACGAGGGGGAGGCGAGGGCCATGGCGGGGGCAGGGGCGGATGTGGTGGTGGCGCACATGGGGCTCACGGCCGCCGGGAGCATTGGGGCGCGCACAGTGTGCTCCTTGGAGGAGGCCGTGGGGAGGGTTCAACGCATGGCGGATGCTGCGAGGGCAGTCAAGCCTGATGTGCTTGTGCTGTGCCATGGAGGTGAGTGGTGGTGGGGCACATGGGATTGACGGCTACAGGGAGCATTGGCGTGAGGACGGTGTGCTCCTTGGAGGAGGCGGTGGGATGGGTGCAAGCGATGGTGGATGCTGCGAGAAGTGTGAAACCAGATGTGCTCGTGCTGTGCTATGGAGGTGAGAGTGGGATGAGAGGGCGGTAAATGCGCACATGGGGCTGACAGCAGCTGGCGCGAGGGCGGTGTGTTCCTCGGAGGAGATGGTGCGGCAGGTGCAAGCGATGGCGGATGCTGCTAGGGCAGTCAAGCCTGATGTGCTCGTGCTGTGTCATGGAGGTGGGTGCTGTAGGGTGCGGCAATGCATGCGCCCCTCCTGGATCGAGGACGGTTTGCTTTGTGGAGGAGGCAGTGGGGCGAGTGCAAGCCATGGCGGATGCTGCGAGGGGGGTTAAGGCCAATGATGGTGTGCCATGGAGCTGACTGATTCTCCCTGCAGCGCTGCATCCCAGCAGCGCTACATCCCAGCAGCGCGACATCCCAGCAGCGCTACATGCCTGCAGCGTGACATCCCAGCAGCGCTACATCCCAGCAACGCTACATCCCAGCAGTGCACCCAGCAAGAGCACTGCCTCTTTCAGCTTCCTCCCCTCCCCTGCCTGTTCCCCTACAACCCTTCTTTCCCCATCAGCTGGCCCAAAGAGACAGGCTACATCCTTGAGCTTCATGCACGCAGGGAAAGCATGGCTTCTTCAACTTCCTCCCCCCCCTGCACATCCCCCACGCCCCCAACACCCCTGGCAGGCCCCATCAGCGGCCCTGAGGAGGCGCGCTACATCCTGGAGCACACGCGGGGAGTGCACGGCTTCTATGGCGCGTCCAGCATGGAGCGCCTGCCAGTGGAGACGGCCATCACCGAGAACCTGCAGGCGTACAAGGCCATCCGGCTGCCGGCGTAGTCCACGTGGACCTACTTTGAGTCGACTCGCAATACGGCTGTTGGTTAGGATGGCATACGGTACAAGGCCTTACATCTGCCAGATCTGTCCACTGTCTCTAGGTGCACCTTGTACCTAGCTTAGCCAGTAGCACCAAGTAGCTATCGTTGCAGATGACGATGAATTATCCACTCCACATGAATAAGGTTCCCATATCCGCATAGCAACCCATGGATGTGTTAAATTGTCGAGAGAATGATGAACCAAGGGAAAATGTAGAGGGTTACAAAGGTAGGACTACCCTCTAAGACAGGACCCTAGATATCAGCCTTCTTACGCTGATTCAGGGTATTTTCAGACTTTTTTTTAGGGCATACTGATCACTCAGCCTTATTTGGAATAGTAACACTGAAAAATCAGCCTTTCTTTCGTAACGTATACTGATTTTTCAGCGTTTATTTGTACCTGAAGGCTGACAAAACAGTGTGACTCTAGGGGGGAACGCTGAAACCGAGTATAGTGTGTTTCCCTCCCCCCCGGAATTACCGGTACCTGACTGGGGAGGCTCCCGACAATCACGCTAGTTGGCCCACTGCGCCGCCCGACGGCGGCCCAGCAGAAACAGTCTGTTTGGTGACAGACTGTTCTGATTGGCACATTACGATTTTTTCCACCCCCGCTGGCGCCACCACATGGGTGACTGAGCGCTCCTATTGGCACTTGACCAAAATCTCGACAAGAGGTCCAATCCCAGCTATGCAGAGTAGGCGGCACAGCGCGTCATGCTGTAACAGCGCGGCGGCAGGGACTGGATGGCAACAACCGCCCACCTGCCTGTCCTGAACCGCGCATCACCCACCTTGCCGGGCATATTGGGCAAGGTGCGCGCGCCGCGTTCGTGGGACCCCTTGAACGAAGGCTTCTGCTGTCAAATTATATGTTTAGGCTTGGTAGACGTGCTACAATCCTGAATCCTACTATAGAGGGGACAACCCCTCCCTTCTTCCTAGTTGACTCTCTTTTCTCTCGTCAACTTTCTCCTACCCTAGCTAAACCTCTCGCTAGTCCTATGCCTGGTTCCTAAGCTCACTTAACATGGTTTCAGAGCAGGCCCTTTCGGTCGGGCCTTCTCCTCGCTTCCGCAGCGTCCTCTCCTCACTTCCGCACCGCTGTGGCAGCCATGTCGTGCTGCCATGGCGGCTTCGTGGTGCTGCCGTGGCAGCCTCGACGCGCTGCCGTGGCGTCGACGCCACGCCGTGGCGGCGTCGTCGTGCTGCTGTGGCAGCGTCGACGTGCCGCCGCGGCAGCAACGCCGCGCCGTGGCGGCGTCGTCAAGCTGCCGTGGTGTGATCAATGGGCGGCAGTGGGCCGCGCAATGTTTTAGCGCCGGCCAGCTCGCCCGCACGCCAGCCAGCGCCGCACTGCCATGGCGCCTCGCTGCAGATTCGCCCCCCCTCCTCTGCATTTCCCTTTCTCCCCGCTGCAGCCGATGGCTGTCTCGCGCTGTGCGGCCCCGTCGTTGCTGAGCCGGGCCACGTCGCCGGGTGCCACGGTCTCCGTCACCGCCGCCGCCGTCGTCGAAGCCGTCGCCGATGCCGCAAGTGCCACTGGCTCCGCCACCACCCGCTGTCGCAGCCGCCGCTGTCGTCGTACCGTCGTTGACGCCGCCACCGCCGTCGCCGCCGCCGCTGCCCCCGCCGCTGACGTCATCGCCTTGCACGTCGAGAGGACGACCGGGCTGACGAAGCCACCGCTGCTGCAGGGCATGGGGGTTCAAGGGTTTTGGGGGTGCTGCGTGTGTGGTGTGCTTTCGACTACCAAGCCTAGGGGGTGTGTCAAATTATATTATTTATATATGTATATTTGTTTAGCCTTGGTAGATGTGCTACAATCCTGAACCCTACAGTAGAGGGGACAACCCCCCCCTTCTTGTATCTCGTTCTCTTCTAGTCCACCTCTCTTTTCTCTCATCAACTTTCTCCTACCCAGGCTAAACCTCTCGCTAGTCCTATGCCTAGTTCCTAAGCTCACTTAACATCTGCCTCGTCTGTTTTATGAAAGCAGCCCATCACAAGTTCCCTCCAAGGCTCGTTAGCACCACCGTCCCACCCCTCACCAGTCTCGTTTGTTCCTCTATTAGAACTGTTTCTGCGTTGCTAGAGGACCTCCTTGCCACTGATTCGATCACGCTTGATTCTGCCGTCGCTCGTGATGGCAGAATCAGGTGGCGATAACAAGCTCGCCACAGAGGACGATGATTGCCACATCCTAGAGGGCAACATGCCCACAGGCCTAGACTTACTCCTAGCTTCTTTAGGTAGTATTCAAGGCCCGTCGCCCAGACCTGCCGAGCACGAGCCAACACCGCTGCCTGAGGGAACTTAGGGAGCCAGACAGCACGCTGCTGTCCCACCTATCGCTGGGCCATCTGGGTCGACTGCTACACGACGCGTCGCTTCTGCTATTGACTATCGAATGCCTAAGCCTACCCCGCCGAAGCGCTTCGGAAAGTACCGGCAATCATGACTCCCCTTCGCGCCACCTGTGAATCTGCCCGACCCGCCCTCGTCTTCCGAGTCCGAGGACGAAGGTGTTGAAGAGGACCTCCCAGGAAAGGCTGGTGGTAAGAGGTGCTTGACAATTGACGAGCAATACGGCAAGGCCCTAGACAAGTACAATTCACGCTGCTCAAGCTCATACCCTTGGCTCCTTCTCACAAAGACTGGCAGCGGCATGCCCGCCTGTTAAGTCTTTGTACCAAGCATGCAGGCTTGAAGGGCAAAATAGGCAGGCGCGGCAAAGGGGCAACCGATGTGCAAGTCCAAGCCTTCAAGAGACATGCTGCTACGACTCGCCATCACATTGCCGAGAAGAAGCAACATGATCTGGTGCAGATGGCGACGAATCAACAGAGGATCGACCTGCACCCGCTGGCAGAGAACTTGGAGAAAATGCACGACACTGCACTCTGCGATGCGCTCCACTTCAGGAGCTGGTGCAATGAGCCGAAGGAGACCAAGATCAATCTCGTCCGCTACTTGGCAGAACGCAAGATGAGGGGCTTCCCTGAGAAGGGATACGAGACGTATTACAACTCGTAAGCACCCATTACCTTCCGTGTTTCACTACTCTAGGGATTCGTTATATGATTCTAAGAATCGCTCTCTTGTTATTGATGTCATTTCATTTCGACCCTTATGCCTGAACTCTTGCCTCTTGTTTTATAGGTATGGCTTTGGACAGTTTACTCAAGCCATGGCAATCTAGCTCCAAACCACTCTGCTTGAGCATCTTCTTACAAGCCCCTTCATTGGCCTGAGCCTTGATGAGAGCACCGACCGCTGTCGTGCCAAACACATGATCGTGTTTGCCATGTTCATCCGCCAAGGGAGACTTGTGACTGAGTTCTTTACATTGCTGACAGTCGAGAAGGCTGATGCCACATCGCTTCTTGCCCTCCTCCTCTCCCACATCCGTGCCATTGGGGTTGACCTCCGTCGGATTTCAGGCATCAGCACCGACAGGGCTGCTGTCATGTTGGGTCCCAAGGGGGGGCTTGTAGCGCGCTTGTACGTCCACATCCCCTACCTCGTGTCGTGCCATTGCATCGCACATCGGTAAGTATTTGGTTTTTTCCACACTTTTTTGTACACACTGTATCTATGTACCGATCCTTATATTTTTTGTTCTTTTGTGTATCTAGGGAGGCACTGGCTGTCAAGGCGGCAGCGGAGAACATCCCTGCACTCTCCATGGTGGGTGATCTCATCCGCCAGCTCGCCGAGCTGCTTGGGCGATCGGGGCCTTGGCACCAACCTTCAGGAGCTCTTCACCTCAACCAACCTAGAGCTCCAGGGTATTCACGCCATCAGGTGGCTCTCACGCCGTCAGGCTATCCTCCATCTTCTTGATGTTCTCCCTGCAATGGTCGTCATGCTCTATGAGTTCCGTATCCACAACCCCAAGTTATACGCCATCGTCACTAGCTATCGCTTTTGGTTCGTCCTGGACTTTCTGGCTGATGTTCTTGAGCAGTTGAACATCTTGAACAAGACCTTTCAGCAGCGTGAGGTTAGTAGTTGTGCTTCAGCTTACCGTGCTCTCTTGCCTCCTCTACTCACCCATCTTCCCATCACTATTTCCTACAGCTGGACTACACGAGCGTCCAGCAACAGATCGCCCACACGACCGGCCTCATCGAGAGCTAGTACATCGACTGTGGCGACGACTTCAGAGGCGGCAAGAAGACCCGACTCCTGTAGTTCATCACCCGTCACGGCCCGGGCGGTTCGCCCAACGTCATCGTTGAGGGCGCAGATTCTGATGGTCGCCCTGCTCGCTTCACTATAAGTCTTCTTTTCAACGAGCTAGACGACTACCCAGGACGGGGGACACACAACACCTACGTCAACATCTGCACCGAGGTTGCCGAAGACATGGCCAGGAACCTGCAAGAGCGTCTTGGAGAATTGGATTCCTTGAGCGGCGTTCGCCTTTTCTCCGCCGACCAGTGGCCAGAGAAATAGGAGCGGGAAGCGAGGCTGGCTCAGTATGTTGAGTGGTTCCAATCACTCGTCACTCTGTACCGCGCGGAGGATGCCGACGAGAGGGGTAAAAGTGGTGGTGTGATGGGTGGTAGAACAGCCAGTCAGAGGCGTCAAGCGGAAACCCCAGGAAGACACAAGGAAGGGTGCGGGATGAGAGCTTGTCCGCGCGAGTGTCGCGGACGTGAGCAAGGCTGCCCTAGACGTGGAATGCAGACGCGTCACCAAGAGACGTGTCCAGAGGAGGGTCGGCAAAGCCTGTGGCTATTGGGAGCGCGACCACATGTTAAGCTGGTGAGCAGTGTAGCGCACGGCGAACGGGCACAGAAAATGGGGTGCACCGGCGTGGACCATGGAGGTGCGAGCTACCTCCACGATCAGACCGATGCGTTGCTCAACGACCCCATTCTGCTGTGGGGAGTTCGCCAATGTGTACGTCTGGCGGATGTCCTCCGCACGACAGAAATGTCATAGAGTGCTAGAGGTGAACTCGCCACCACGATCAGAGTGTAAGCGACCTATGGGCAGGCGGTGGTGGGTGCAAACGGTAAGAAGCCGAGGGAGGAGAATGGTGGGCACGTCGGCCTTCCGCTCCAATGGGAACACTGTGGTTAAGCGTGAGAAGTCGTCAACGAGGACTAGAAAGTAGCACTCTCGAAGACCAGGGACCGGGGCATGGCCCCAGACGTCCATGTGCAGCATCTGTAACGGTGCTGTGGTAGGGGGAAACGAGGAGGAGTGAGGGGCGGTGCGCTGTCGGCCCTCGACGCAGGACGTGCACAGTAGCGCTACCGACGTAGGTAGGGTGGGAAGCGACGCAGGGAGACCAGTGACTAGTCCGTGCTCGGATATGTGCCTAAGACGCGGAAGTTCAGGGTGACCTAAGCGGTGGTGCCACAGAAGGGTCGGGTGAGCTATGGAGCGACAGAATCAGGACGCGGCAACCGCGGCAGACGTAGCAGTCGGTGGGGACTCAGTGTGCAGTGTAAAGAGACCTGACGCTGGGTCACACTCAAATGTGGCTAAGTGCCAACCGGTGGCTATGTCTGTGCAAGCGGCGTGTCTCTCGGGGCTTGGGAACATAGTGGTGACGCCTCAGTCTTGAAGTTGACCGACACTCACTAGGTTCCTTGCAAACGAGGGGATGTGCAGACCGGTGTGGGAGCCAGAGGGGACAGCTGGACAAGGGAGAGTGGTGGTGCTACGCGCGTCAGCTGTGGCGGAAGAATCTGCTAGTGCGACAAAGATAGGCGCAAGAAGCAGGGTGAGAGCAGTATTGTCTCTAAAGAAGCAACGAGATGCGCCCGTGTCAAGGATAAAGGAGAGGGCCGCCGCAGGAGGGGCAAGGGAGGACCCTAGGGGACACGTAGTAGAGGCTCCTAGACTAGAGAGGATGGTGGGACCTAGACCCCTAGGCCCCAAGACCCCCGGTCCTTCAGAGAAACCACACTGGCCCCAAGGCAGTGACCGCCCTGGGGCCGCACATCTAGAGCCTCCACCTCGCCCAGCACCCCAAAGACCCCACTGCGGCTGCTGTTGCGGCTGCGGCACTTGCCAGAGAGCCCGAAAGCAGATGTCAAGGCCGTGGATCCAGAAGCTAATGAGGTAACTAATGTGATCCTCTAGGAGAGTGCAGCCTAGGTGCGGGCTCACCAGCTATAGACGGTGGGCGAGAAATCGGAGAGTGAAGGGAAGTGCCCGGCAATTTGGCCTAGGGACGGACCCGAACGAGGCCATCATGCCAACAGGAGAGGCATCGTGGAACTCTAGAAATGAGGAGGAGACTAATGGGAGGCACTAGGTGCTAGAGGAGTACAATCGGATGTAGTAGCAGTGGAGACTGTGGCCGGAGCAGTGGCGACTGTGGCCAGAGCAGTGGTAGCGAGAATGAGGCCAGTAGCAGCAGCGGCTAGTGATAGTAAGACGGCAATAGCGGTTGGCGGTAGGCTAGGAGGTGCTAGGAGGAGTGGGGAGAAAACAAGGAGGAAGTACGTGCGAGAGGAACTACTAGAAGCAGTACGTCGATGAGCTAGTTAGGAGGCACTAGGACTGGTGGCACAGGGTGAAGGACAGTCCACAGGGCTCGGGGGACTCACTGGGTAGGCGGCTGGCGGCTGGCGGCCGACTACCGCTGGTGGCTGGTGGTCGGAGGCTGGCCGCCAGTGGCAGCAGCTGGCGGCTGACGGCTGGGGGTCGGCCATCGGCTGCTGTTGGTTGCTGACGGTGGGCAACAGCGGCGGTTGCAGAGGCAGCGGCGGCTGTAGCGACAGCGACGACAGCGGCTGTAGTGGCGGCAGTAGTGGCTGCGGTAGTGGCGGCTGCAACAATAGTGGGCGGCAGCGGGCAGTAGTAGCTGCGGTAGTGGCAGTGGGCGGCAGCAGCCTCCGCTGGCTGTTGGCTGCTGGCTGCTAGCAGTGGGCTGTTGGCTGCTAGCGGCTGGCACTGGTGGCGCTGGTCAGCCAGCAAGCTGGCTGCTGGCGCTGCTGGTTGCTGGCGCTGCTGGCTGTTGGGGCTGGCTGCTGGCGCTGGCTGGTGCTGGCGAGCTAGCTGGTGCTGGCTGCTGGTGGCGCTGGTGAGCCAGTGAGCTGGCTGCTGGCAATGCTAGCAGGCAGGCGAGCACGCGGGCAGGCAGTAGGCGAGCAGGCAAGGGTGTGAGCTGGCGAGCAGGCGGGCTGGTGAGTAGATGAGCGGGCAAGCAGGCGGGCAGGTGAGCTAGCGAGCAGGCGTGCTGGCGAGCAGGTGGGATGGCGAGAAGCGTCGGCGAGCAAGCGGGCTGGCGAGCAAGCAAGCAGGCGAGTAGGCTGGCGGGCGAGCAGACAAGCAGGCGAGCGTGCGAGCTGGCGAGCAGGCGGGCTAGCGGGCAGATGAGCAGGCGAGTAGGCGGGCGGGCGAGCAGATGAGCAGGTGAGCTGGCGAGTAGGCGGACTGGCGTGCTGGTGAGCAGGCGAGCAGGCGGGCTGGCGGGCAGGCGTGCAAGCAAGCAGGTGGGCGGGCGAGCGTGCGAGCAGGCGGTCTGGCAGGCTAGCGAGCAGAAGAGCAGGCGGGCTGGCGAGCGTGCGAGCACGCGAGCGTGCGAGGTGGCGAGCATGCGGGCTGGCGGGACGGCTACGAACTAAGGCGCTGGCGGGCGCGGGCCAGTGGTGGCTTGCGTGAGCTACGTGACGAAGAGGAGAGGGTGGGGAGGGGACGAGCTACGAGGCGCGCAATTTGGGCCGAGGCGCGCTAGGCTAGGGTGTGATAGGGCGGAAGCGTGATGTAGAGGGCGAGACCTAGCTCTAATACTATGCTAGATTGTCGAGTGAATGATGAACTAAGGGAAAATGTCGAGGGTTACAAAGGTAGGACTGTACCCTCTAAGAATTGACCTAACTAAGGCTATAACGAATATAAACTAGCCAGCCTAGATAATTATATTTGTTGACAAGATGGACGATCTTGAAGGCGAATCATTTCTCGATGAGATAGAATACTTGCTTGATTGATGTTTTCATGTATTCAAGTCCAGAACGGTTTCAATACAAAGGGCCCACTCATATGGGGCACTGTATAGACTCCCGCGTCCTAATGGAGCGGTTCAGCACGGTGCAAATATTTGCGGCATGGGTTTATGCGACTTGCACTACCCATGGAGCTACTCATAGTCCACCACTACATTAGTGATGCTATACTGTGCTGTTATCGGAAATGATATAGTTTGCTTGTTATCTGAGGCCGTGTCATGCACTGTTGTGCCACAGCATTCCTTGTTATCTGAGGCCTTGCCTTGGTCACTAGTCCCCAATTATCCAATGCATATCTTCTCGTTGTAGAGATTTATACTCTTAGATCTTTGCTTGTTTGTATTTCGTTTTGACTTTTTTCTTTCGACTGTGGAGCTCTTGTCGCTGCGACTGTGTCCAGTCCAGATGGCTCTGTTTCGCACAGTCGAGCGTGACGCTAACGGATGTTTAGGCTGGGAGGGGGGGAACAAGGGAGGTGCCTTATGGCGAATGGAGGCGATGACTGAGGGCGGGGAGCACCTCATATCAAAAAAGACTTTTTGAAACTCGTGTTCTATATCCAGTACGGTACGAGACAGGACCAATAATTTTCAGAACGTTTTAGTACGCTGGTGTGGCGATACTCGTGCGGGTTCAAGATAACATCCTATCTTGATCTGTATGTACGCCCTGAGATTTCGCGCCGCTCTAAAGCTCTGGGATTTCACCCAGTCCTGAGAAAGCAAGGGGAAAAGGGGGGGTGTTTACCAATCTCGGGGCATCTCCCCTCTCGTGGCTGGTATTTCGCTTGAGTCACGGACCGCTGCCCCAGTAGTAGCGGCCTCAACCAATTGGACCTGGAAAAGTCGAACCGCTGCCCTTTCTCGAAATGCCGGCCCGACCGAAATCCATCAGTCGCCCCTCCTAGCATTCAGAATCGACGGAAGCAGAACATAAATTAGGCCCTCTGAGGAGAACAGAGCAAGTCAAGCAAGCTTTTCCTCTTCGACACAGGTGATCCATCTGAGTCACAGGCAGCACTCGTCCCCCCTGCTTCTGTCCAACCTTCTAGACCTCTTTTCCCTTCGCAAAGGCGTTGGCTGTTGAACCTCCCGACTAACATCTGCTGCATTCTTCCAGTCCGTTCTTCAATCTCGAAGATGTGGTTCCAACGTGCTGCCACGTTGGCCCTAGCGGGTGTGGGCGTGGCGCTCGCCATCGTGTCGTGCTGCTACATGGCCGACAACTACCTTGTCATCTCGCACCCCACGCTATGCGGTGGTGTCTCCAACACCACCCTCTGCTCCGACGAGTTCCGCGCCGCTCGTAGGCAGCTCGGCGTGCTGCCTCAGGCGGCGGACAGAGTCACTGCAGCAATGGTTTCCGCCGTGGCGCTTCAGGTCCGTGCGATAATCGCGGCCGCGGCGGAGATTAAGCGCGCCAACGTGCGGCAGAACCACTTCGTGAACGTCGTCGCGGACGACTGCAGCACGCAGGGCGGCATCGCGCTGCGGTACCTGGGCCGCACGATGGAAGCGATCAACTCCAACAGCCAGCACCATGACCGCGCGTTCTGGCTGTCCGCCGCCAGCACGCAAGTCGGTAACTGCGTCGACGGCTTCAAGTCGCTCGCTCCCGCCGCCACCTTCCAGCCCGCTTTCGTGCATCTCGAGGTGAGCCCACCCTTTCCACTTTGGATGCTTTTGCCCCACCTGTCAGTACAATAGCCCTCCATGGCTTCCAACGCTATTCCGCTTGAGTGGGGCACGGTATGAGCCAGCGAATAATTCTGAAACAGCTGCTGCCAGGCAAAGCAAGGCTTCCTTATTTTCCCAGCCCTATTTGCGGACGCTAGGGGATGAGGGCCAATGCTGCTGCCCTGAACCCAATGCTTTTTGATCCGCTTGGTGCTCGCCCTCAAAATTTGACCTGATCAGAATAAGGAGTTTTTCAGCACAATTATTTTTCTTGTGTGACTCTTTGGGTTTGGCAAGCGAATCGACCTTCTATTTCCGTCTCGTCCATCGCAGGCTATCGCCAACAAAGCCGACGACATTCTCGAAGCCGTTGTCGCCATCGCCAAGAAGGCTGCGACAGCCCCTGCGACGAACAACGGCCTCGGGGGACTTCTTCCTAAGTTTGGTCGCAAGCTCGCTTCTTCTGAGCCCATGGCTGGTGCGGGCGGCGTGAAGTGGCTGGATGAGGACTTTGTCGCACAGCTGCGACAGCTGCAGGCGGAGCTGAACGCCATGGGCGACGACGTCCATGAGCACGTCGCACGGCGACAGCTCGACGACGACGATGACGACGACGATGATGACGACGAGAACAAGAAGGACAAGAAGAAAAACAGGAAGAACAAGAACAAGGGTAGCAGCGGCAGCAGCAAGAGCAAGAGCAAGAGCAAGAACAAGGGGGGGAAGTCCAAGAACAGCAAGGGGAGCAGCGCCAAGCCCACTTCCGGCCCCATTCGCGCGAGCAAGGGATTGAGGGCCAACGCGGTCGTCAAGGGCTCCATTCAGGACGCCGTCGACGCCGCACCCGGCGGCAGCCGCTACGTGATCTACGTCCCCGCCGGCACCTACAACGAGCAGGTCGTTATAGACACCCCCGATATTATCCTTATCGGAGCCGGCGCCGGCAAGACGGTGGTGACTTACGACGAGAGCTACGGCAGCGGCTCGAGCACGTTCGACTCGGCTACAGTCGGCGTGAACAGTGACCGGTTTGTTGTGTTCGGGATGAAGTTCGTCAACACGGCCGGGCCCGAAAACCACCAGGCTGTCGCGTTCCGCGCTACAGGCGACCAGTCGGCGGCGATCGACTGCTCGTTCGAGGGGTCGCAAGATACCCTCTACGTGGACGCCGGCCGGCAGTACTACTCCAACTGCTACATCGGCGGTACGCAGGACTTCATTTTCGGCGACGCGGCGGCGGTGATCGAGAACGCCAAAATCCAGCTGCACCCCAGCAAGTCGTTCATCACCCTCACGGCGTCGGGGCGTGCCAAGGACACGCCGACGGGCATCGTGATCCGCAACTCCGTGGTCACCGCCGACAAGGGCGCGGCAAAGGCGTACCTGGGTCGGCCGTGGAAGAAGTGCGCCTTCACCGTCTTCGTCAACACTGTGCTGCCGTCGGTGAGTGCTTCATCTTAGCATGGTGCAGCCTGCCGTCACCGCTGTCCCTGCTCCCTCCTAGCTCCCTGCATGTTCCTCTGCTCCCTGTATGTTCCTCTGCTCCCTGCATGTTCCTCTGCTCCCTGCATGTTCCTCTGCTCCCTGCATGTTCCTCTGCTCCCTGCATGTTCCTCTGCTCCCTGCATGTTCCTCTGCTCCCTGCATGTTCCTCTGCTCCCTGCATGTTCCTCTGCTCCCTGCATGTTCCTCTGCTCCCTGCATGTTCCTCTGCTCCCTGCATGTTCCTCTGCTCCCTGCATGTTCCTCTGCTCCCTGCATGTTCCTCTGCTCCCTGCATGTTCCTCTGCTCCCTGCATGTTCCTCTGCTCCCTGCATGTTCCTCTGCTCCCTGCATGTTCCTCTGCTCCCTGCATGTTCCTCTGCTCCCTGCATGTTCCTCTGCTCCCTGCATGTTCCTCTGCTCCCTGCATGTTCCTCTGCTCCCTGCATGTTCCTCTGCTCCCTGCATGTTCCTCTGCTCCCTGCATGTTCCTCTGCTCCCTGCATGTTCCTCTGCTCCCTGCATGTTCCTCTGCTCCCTGCATGTTCCTCTGCTCCCTGCATGTTCCTCTGCTCCCTGCATGTTCCTCTGCTCCCTGCATGTTCCTCTGCTCCCTGCATGTTCCTCTGCTCCCTGCATGTTCCTCTGCTCCCTGCATGTTCCTCTGCTCCCTGCATGTTCCTCTGCTCCCTGCATGTTCCTCTGCTCCCTGCATGTTCCTCTGCTCCCTGCATGTTCCTCTGCTCCCTGCATGTTCCTCTGCTCCCTGCATGTTCCTCTGCTCCCTGCATGTTCCTCTGCTCCCTCCCTTGCCTGCTGCTCCTTGTCTCATTCTCTCGTCTCCTCGTCTCCTGCTCTCCCGTGCCGTCACATGCAGATCATAATGCCCGACGGCTGGCTGTCGTGGAACGAGGGCAGCTGCATGTATCTCGCCGAGGCGGGCAGCAAGGGCCCGGGCGCCAAGTCGTCGCGCGCGGACTGGGTCGACCCGGGGATCATTTCCAACGGCGCGCAGTACACGCCCAATGGCTTCGCGGAAGTGAACTCGTGGCTCGTGTTGGCGTGAATGCCGCGGGAGGGGGAGTGGCTCCATGAATGCTCCGGTTTCCGCTCCGCCTCCCCCGGTCCTCGTTCTTGGCGGGATGACTTGCGAGTAGGTAGGAAGAGATGCGATTCTCATCGACTAAGGCGTACGCGGCAACAGTAGAGAAATGCTTAGGGGCAACTTCCGGTTTTTCTACTGGTACTGGACGCCTAGGGGCGTACGCCCCTAGAGAAATGCATAGGCAACAGTAGGGGCAACTTCCGGTTTTTCTAGGCTAGATGGCTTCTCGCTAGTGCTTGTCCCTGTGTCCAGCGGCTAACTATGCTTGTTTGTTTCTCCTAATGAATTTCAATAATTGCAATTCAAAACCCTTGGAAACGTATGGGCTCCATACTAAGGAGTATGCCAACATGGTAGTAAAGCCTGTCATACTAAGAAATGCCGGTACTGGACTCTGGTTCTGGTACTGGACTCGGTAAGAAAATTCATTGTGTTCAGGAACCCATTTCTGTTGCTGGTACTGAACACCACTCTGTAGGAGTACGCCCTAAATCTCTAGGTGAGCCCTCACAACAGCAGGGAGGTATTGGTCTAATCTCTATTCAATTCAACTGAAAAATCATTTCCTTCATTACCCTACAGCCAGCTTCCGATTTGACATGCGTCAGCAATACATATACACACTCCACCTAACAGCAGAAATGTTGCACAAATTACCAACACAGCAGCAAGTTGCAGGGGAGCTGTCTGTCACACTTGGCCACGTGCACGCCATGAGTCCTGTCCTGCCATCGCCACTCCCCTGCCAGCCTCTCTCTTGCTTGCCCTTGCCACAGCCGCTGTGGTCAGCCCAAGCCATGGTTCGAACGGCAGGACAATGCTCTTGGCTGGCAGCCCTGCTCGTCCGCTTCAAGAGCACCAACTCCCCCACCTCCCACCCTCTGCCCCACGCCTCACTTCTCCCCTCGTCTTCTCTTCCTCTCCACCTTCCTCAGCCGCTTGCTGCTCTGCTCACACCTCCACAGCCGTTGTGAGGCCAACCGGTACAATGACCAGCACCACAGCAGCAGTAACCATATCTCCTCATCCTGCTCCACAACCCCCCTTCACCACCCACCCACACCCCACCCCACACTGCACTTCTCCCCTCCTCTCCTCTTCCGCTCCACCTTCCTCGACCGCCTGCTGCCCGCCTCCACCGACTAATGTAAGTCAGTGTAAGCTTTCATTATTGCCCTACCCAACAGCCAGATTCCAATCAGGCATGCTTCAGCAATACATATACAGAAGACGCACTACAAGTGCTACACATACCACCGACAGAGCACTGACTTGCAGAGGGCCATCACATCCTTGCCTCACGCACCCCATGTATCCCTCCGTCTTTCTCCCTCCCTCTCCTCCGCCCTCCATCTCTCGGTCACCCCCCCCACACTGCCGTGAACCCATACCACGGCCAGCAAACCAGCGCTCTTGGCAACCCTGCTCGCCGCACACGTCCTGCGACGCAATCCCCCCCATCACAACCCCCCACCTTTACCCACACCTCACTTCTCCCACCCGCTCCTCTTCTTCGTCTCCACCTTCCTCGGTCGCTTGCTGACCGCCTTCACCGCGGCCATGAACCCAACCAGTGCAATCAGCAGCACCACAGCATTCTCAGCCGCCTCCTCTTGTCCACTTCCTCCCATGCTGGCAACTCGTTCATGCCCCACCCCACCCGAAACCTCACTTCTCCCCTCGTCTCCGCCTCTTCCTCTCCACCTTCCTCAGCCGCTTGCTGACCGCCTCCACTGCCGCCGTGAATCCAACGGGCGCCATGGGCGGCGCCACAGCTGCCTTAGCCGCCTCCTCGTCCTGGTTGAGGCGCACTATCTCCTGCACCACCTGCTGGTCAGGGGGCGCTATTTGCGACTCCACGCCGCGGAACACAAAGTACGGCAGCACCGCCATCACCGGGAGGAGGAGGAGACCTGTCAGCCAGTACAACGCACTGGGAGCCAGCACCTCCGAGAAAATGTAGTAGTAGTCCGTGGACCAATCCGGGCCGAAGTAGGAGTAGACCCCGAGAAAGAGGTACCAGACGGCGATACTGCCCCAGATGAAGAGGTGCGTGATCCACGTCCAGTGCTCCGTCTGCAGCGCAATCTGAATGTTCACCGCCACCACCACGGCCGTCATGAGCGTGGCGCTCAGCCCGTTCATCTCAAACAGCTTGCCCGAGGGGAGAGAGGCCTGCGGCAGCACGGCGGCGAGGCACGTCCAGAAGAGCAGGATGGACTGGTACACGGCGTACACGAGCCACAGCGCGATGGTGGTCCACCGGAAAAAGACGTTCTTGGGGCCCTGCTGGTACAGCGCTGGGAACTGCATGGGCCCGAATGGAGGGGGAGGGGGAGGAGGGAATAATGTGAGTGTGAGAGAGTGTGTGAGTAAGAGCTGTGGTTGACCAGTGGAAGAACGGCGTTCCTTGGCCTTGCTGGCAGAGTGCTGGGAAGTGAATGGGGGAATGAAGTGTCGGGGTGAGGGCGGAGATGTGGAGGAAAAACTAAGGGGGGGCGAGGGGAAGAGAGTGGGAACTGTGTTGGGGGCCACAAAGGAGCCGCAGAGGCAGTCGCTCTTCCGCCCTGCTGGTTCAGCGCCTGGGAACTGCGTTGGAGTTGAAAAGGAGGAAGGAGAAGGGGGAGAGGTAAGAGGGCAGCACTGGGCTTATTGAGGAATTCTTTGATGCGGCAGTGGGAGCTGAATGGACGAGGGTGAAGAGGTGGCGACGCGGAACAGGGAACCAGAGAGCGAGTGTGGTTTGGGTTAAGGAGCTCCAGGGTTTGGTGAGGAGCGAGATCAAGGAATGGGTTGAAAGAAGGACGTGGGGGGATGCGAGTGCATAGTGTTATCACGCGGTTCCATGAGCAGGCCAGCACGTTATGGCCAAAGATCATGCGGGGTTGATCCGGAAGGCCCTCCTCTGGTCCAGCACGCCACAGCCGATGGCATTGCAAACATCCCACACGGGCACGAGCAACACACCACGGCGTCGCATCAGACTTGGTCACTGATGGCTCACCATGAGCAGCTGCTTGTCCGACAAATCTTGCTCCAGCACGCCATAGCCGATGGCATTGCAAACATCCCACACGGGCACGAGCAACACACCACGGCGTCGCATCAGACTTGGTCACTGATGGCTCACCATGAGCAGCTGCCTGTCCGACAAATCTTGCTCCAGGGCGCCATAGCCGATGGCATTGCAACATCCCACACGGGCACGAGCAACGCACCACGGAGTTGCATCAGATTTGGTCACTGATGGCTCACCATGAGCAGCTGCTTGTCCGACAAATCTTGCTCCAGGACGCCATAGCCGATGACGGGCAGCGAGGTGAAGAAGACGTTGTACAGCGAGCACGCCCAGCTGTTGTACACGATCTGCCCGGAGAACACCGCGTACGCGTTGTAGTAGAAGATGGTCAGCCCGAACGCCACGTTCTTGTAGAAGAAGTAGGTCACCTGCAGGGGAGGGTGCATATGGGGTGGTGTGGTGTGGTGTGGGGGGAGTTGGGGACAGGTACCATACTGGTTGTGCCATAACAAACAGGTCACTTGGAGAGTATTATGGGGTGGAAGAGGGGAGGCAGATGGGAGCTAGGATCAAGCTAAGAAGGGAGGCAACATGCACGTAAAGAGGACAAAAGAAGGAGCAGGACAAGAGGTAGAGGAAAGTGCCGGGATGATTGGTTAAAGGTTGAGAGGAGGGAGAAGGCAGTAAGCTCCAGCGGGCGTGCACGAGTAGGAGGACAGTAAGGGGCAAGGAAGGAGGCAGGAAGGGAGGCAGGAAGGGAGGCAGGAAGGGAGGCAGGGAGGGGGAAAGGAGGGCAGTAGGGAGTAGGACGGGATGGCAAGGTACTGACGGCGTTGGCGATGCGCTTGTAGCTCCAGTGGCCGTGCACAAGCACTAGGCGCTCAAGATACTTGAACTGCGCAATGGCAAAGTCACTCGCCATCACGGCCTGGGAGGGGGGCGGAGGGGAGGGAGAGGGGGAGGGAAACGAGGAGATGAGAAAATGCTCCAAGGAAGAAAGTCGGGGAGAAAAGCGACTGAAACGTAGAAGCCTGCTGTGCTACAGTAGCACTTGATGTGGCTACCGCCTCTGTGGTGAGGGGCGGCTGGCCAATCATTGATGGTTCGCTTTCGCCTCCTCCCACCTCCTCTCCCCCTCTTGCCACATCCTGCCCCTCCTTTCCCACCTGCTGCCCTTCTCTCACCTGCTGCCCCTCGCTCACCTGCTGCCCCACTTACCTGCTGCCCCACTTACCTGCTGCCCCACTTACCTGCTGCCCCACTTACCTGCTGCCCCACTTACCTGCTGCCCCACTTACCTGCTGCCCCTCCACGCCGCTGATGCCCACACCGATGTCCGCCTCATGGATCATGCCCACATCGTTCGCCCCGTCCCCAATGCCCAGAGTCGTGCGCCCCGTGCCGTCCTTCACCAGCCGTGTCACCTGCAGGGGATTCAGATTGTGCCGAGCCACACATGAGGGCATCATGAGTGAGCATTCGCATGAGAATAGACCCCTGGCATGGCATGGCAAGTAGCGATAGCTTCCCTCCTCTCAACACGCCCATTTCCCCATCCCCCCTCCTTCCCCTTCACCCCACTACCCTTTCCAGCACCTTCAGCTTGGCCGAAGCGCGGCAGCATATCGCAGACGCGCCCTGCATGGCCAGCGCCAGCAGCAAGCTTTCAGACAGTCTCACCCCTCGACCTTGACACCACTCCTCAGACTCACCAGCGCCTTCTGCTTGGGCGACACGCGGCAGCAGATCACGGACGCGCACTGCATGGCCAGCGCCAGCAGCGGCGCCCGCAGCTCGGGCTCCAGGGCGAACGCCAGCGACTTGCCGTCGATCACTAGCGCAAACACCCGCGCGGAATCCCCCTCCCCCTCGCCCTCCCCGTCTCCCTCCTCCCCGACGCCATTGCCATCCGCCTCCCCATTACTGTCCTCCCCTGCACCCGGCCCCCCTGCCCCGCCACGGTCTATGAGTGCGGCTCCATCCTGCAGCAGGCGCTTGACCCTGTCCCTGCAGAACTGGGGGAGGGGAGAGAGTGAGGAAAAGGGAGAGGGGAAGGGGAAGGGGAGGGGGGAGGAGAGGGATAGGGAGGGAGAGGTACGTAAGGCAAGGAGGCGTCGCAAGAGCCATGGTGTATGAGCGAAGCACCCTCCTGCAGCAGGTGCTTCACGCTAGGGAGAGGGGAAGCGAAGCGGGGGGGGGGGGGGGGGGAGGGGAGGGATGTGAATGGGGCAAGCAAAGGCACGGCAAGGGCCATGGCCTGTGAGCGCGGCTCCCTCCTGCAGCCGCCGCATCACCCTGCGGGGCTCGTTGCAGATTTGGGGAGGAGGGCGGTGGGGCGAGGGAGGAGTGAACGAGGGGAGCAGTGGGGTGGGAAGGGGGACAAGGGGAGGGAAAGAGGGAAGGGGGGGGAAGGGGAGGCAGGAAGGAAGAGGTGTGAGAGGGTGAGGATGTGGATCCCGTGGTTGCATCTGCCCTGAACACTTCACCCCCACGCACGTCCATCACCTGCCCATCCATCCCCCCCCCTCTCCGCACGCAACCCGTGCCGCCCACACGTACCGCGGCGAGCTTTTTTAAATCCTGTTATGTGCCTGTGCCGATGTTAAATCGCTCACAGCGCCTCAAAGGAACTCCACAGCCCTGCCATCGCAGCACCTCATGCCCCCCATGCCACCCCATGCCCTCCCTGCCACCCCATGCCACCCCCTGCCACCCCTTGTCCGCCTCTGCCGCCCACACGTACCGCAGAGAGCTTCTCCTTGTCCCCCGCGTCCTCCAGCTTGCGAATGTCCGGCGAGTCGAGCGAAACGACGATCTGCTTCATGTCGTCGCGCAGGAGAGAGCACGCGAAGCTGGTGGGGGGGAGGACGAAGGAGAGAGGGAAATGGGGGGGAGGGGGGGGGAAAGGTCAGAATATACAAGGTAAGCGAAGGCATCGCTGTGAGGCGCTCACGCTAACCGCACTTTCACAATGCTCATCCATACATGACCATACTTTCACAATGCTCATCCATACATGACCATACTTTCACAATGCTCATCCATACATGACCATACTTTCACAATGCTCATCCATACATGACCATACTTTCACAATGCTCATCCATACATGACCATACTTTCACAATGCTCATCCATACATGACCATACTTTCACAATGCTCATCCATACATGACCATACTTTCACAATGCTCATCCATACATGACCATACTTTCACAATGCTCATCCATACATGACCATACTTTCACAATGCTCATCCATACATGACCATACTTTCACAATGCTCATCCATACATGACCATACTTTCACAATGCTCATCCATACATGACCATACTTTCACAATGCTCATCCATACATGACCATACTTTCACAATGCTCATCCATACATGACCATACTTTCATGCCATAATCAAACCATAGCGTCCAGGACATCGAAGCGTTGTGACTTTGGAGTCTCGGTTTTGAGTCCACCCAAACCATACCGTCCAGGACATCGAAGCATGGTCATGGCATGAAATGTGGCCGTGGTTCAGTTCAATGCGCTCATGACTGGTAGTTGTGGTGCTCATCATACCATGCACACAGCACCAAAGCGTGGCCACTGGTCCTAACATTCCTCTCGCCCCATGCCTCTGCCATGTCACCCGAATGTTAACAGCCGTCCCCAGCATGTCCCCCATGAGCACCCATATCTTGATGCCCGCCTGCGCTTGTCCCCAGTCAACGACCTTCTTGCTAGTTTCATGGCATCTCCCGCCTTCCCCCCCGCCATCTCACCCGATGTTGATGGCCGTCTCCAGCTTGTCGCCTGTGAGCACCCATATCTTGATGCCCGCCTGCGCCAGCCGGTCGATGGCCTCCGGCACCTGGTGGCGGGGCGATGAGGAGGGCGTGGGGGAGATGGAGAGCACAGGAGTGCACGGATGATTGAGGGTTGGGGGGAGGTGGGCTGAGGGGAGAGCATGCTCTGCCTGTGCTGGGGGGGAGGGGGGAAAGGGGGGGTGGGGCGGGAAAAAGAGGAGTGGAATAATGCATTGAGGGTGGGTCGACGGATGAGGCATGGCCCGGCAGAATGACGGTCAGATAAGGCAGCAGAGCGGGAGTAACGCCGTGGCAGCATTGACGTGGGCACGGTTTGCGATGCAGGATGAGAGTGTGAGGGATGTGGGGGGAGTGTGACGACGCGTTCGCAATCTCAAGGACGTAGGGCCCCCTTGGCATCAATCACCCACAAGCCCTTCCTGGCTCCTCAAGAACCCCCCCCCCTGCCTCCGTCTTCCCTGGTTCCTTTGTTTATCCCCCCCACCACCCCTAAAGCCCCTCCACACACTTCCCTTGCGCTTGTCTTCCAACCCTTGCAGGCCTCCACCCCCAACCCCTCTCCCTCTTCCCTCCCTCCCTCTCACCCCTTGCTGCAGCTTGTCCTCCACGGCCGTCGCCCCCACCAGCGTGAGCCCCTGCTCAATCTCCTCCGCAGCAGCATCCACCAGCGCCTCCCTCTCCGCGCTCAAACTCCTCCTCGCAGCCTCAAACCGCTCCAACCACGCGCCGCACTCCTCCTCACTCAGCTCCCTGTACGCCAGCGCGAGCGTCCTGAGCCCCGCCTCGCCGTACCGGTGCAGGTGGGCCCTGGTGGCCTCCAGGTACTCCCGGCCGGCGGGCGCGAGGCGCTCGTAGATGACGGAGTCAGCACCCTTGGTGAAGAGGAACACGCGGTTGGCGGGGTCGCGCACCACCACCGACATGCGCTTGCGCGTCGAGTTGAACTCTATTAGGGCCAGAATGGTGTACTCCCTGTGGTTGCGTTGGGGGCAGGTGCGGGCAGTAAGGTTGAAGGGAGGGCGGGTGGGGGGAGCAAGGTTGAGGATGGGGTTGGGGTTGCGCTCTGAGGACCGGGATGGTGTACACCCTGTGGTGAACGGGGAGTGAAGGCACGCATGGACCATCAGTAGGGGCAGCGAGGGGTGATGAGGGGCGTGGGGCTATGAGGGGAGACGAGGGGCAGCGAGGGGAGACGAGGGGCAGCGAGGGGAGACGAGGGGCAGCGAGGGGAGACGAGGGGCAGCGAGGGGAGACGAGGGGCAGCGAGGGGAGACGAGGGGCAGTGAGGGGAGACGAGGGGCAGTGAGGGGAGACGAGGGGCAGTGAGGGGAGACGAGGGGCAGTGAGGGGAGACGAGGGGCAGTGAGGGGAGACGAGGGGCAGGGAGGGGAGACGAGGGGCAGCGAGGGGAGACGAGGGGCAGCGAGGGGAGACGAGGGGCAGTGAGGGGAGACGAGGGGCAGTGAGGGGAGACGAGGGGCAGTGAGGGGAGACGAGGGGCAGTGAGGGGAGACGAGGGGCAGGGAGGGGAGACGAGGGGCAGCGAGGGGAGACGAGGGGCAGCGAGGGGAGACGAGGGGCAGTGAGGGGAGACGAGGGGCAGTGAGGGGAGACGAGGGGCAGTGAGGGGAGACGAGGGGCAGTGAGGGGAGACGAGGGGCAGCGAGGGGAGACGAGGGGCAGCGAGGGGAGACGAGGGGCAGTGAGGGGAGACGAGGGGCAGTGAGGGGAGACGAGGGGCAGTGAGGGGAGACGAGGGGCAGTGAGGGGAGACGAGGGGCAGGGAGGGGAGACGAGGGGCAGCGAGGGGAGACGAGGGGCAGCGAGGGGAGACGAGGGGCAGCGAGGGGAGACGAGGGGCAGTGAGGGGAGACGAGGGGCAGTGAGGGGAGACGAGGGGCAGTGAGGGGAGACGAGGGGCAGTGAGGGGAGACGAGGGGCAGTGAGGGGAGACGAGGGGCAGTGAGGGGAGACGAGGGGCAGTGAGGGGAGACGAGGGGCAGCGAGGGGAGACGAGGGGCAGTGAGGGGAGACGAGGGGCAGCGAGGGGAGACGAGGGGCAGTGAGGGGAGACGAGGGGCAGGGAGGGGAGACGAGGGCAGCGAGGGGAGACGAGGGGGAGGGAGACGAGGGGCAGCGAGGGGAGACGAGGGGCAGTGAGGGGAGACGAGGGGCAGCGAGGGGAGACGAGGGGCAGTGAGGGGAGACGAGGGGCAGTGAGGGGAGACGAGGGGCAGCGAGGGGAGACGAGGGGCAGTGAGGGAAGACGAGGGGCAGCGAGGGGAGACGAGGGGCAGTGAGGGGAGACGAGGGGCAGTGAGGGGAGACGAGGGGCAGTGAGGGGAGACGAGGGGCAGCGAGGGGAGACGAGGGGCAGCGAGGGAGACGAGGGGCAGTGAGGGGAGACGAGGGGCAGTGAGGGGAGACGAGGGGCAGTGAGGGGAGACGAGGGGCAGTGAGGGGAGACGAGGGGCAGGGAGGGGAGACGAGGGGCAGCGAGGGGAGACGAGGGGCAGGAGGGGAGACGAGGGGCAGTGAGGGGAGACGAGGGGCAGTGAGGGGAGACGAGGGGCAGTGAGGGGAGACGAGGGGCAGTGAGGGGAGACGAGGGGCAGCGAGGGGAGACGAGGGGCAGCGAGGGGAGACGAGGGGCAGTGAGGGGAGACGAGGGGCAGTGAGGGGAGACGAGGGGCAGTGAGGGGAGACGAGGGGCAGTGAGGGGAGACGAGGGGCAGTGAGGGGAGACGAGGGGCAGCGAGGGGAGACGAGGGGCAGCGAGGGGAGACGAGGGGCAGCGAGGGGAGACGAGGGGCAGTGAGGGGAGACGAGGGGCAGTGAGGGGAGACGAGGGGCAGTGAGGGGAGACGAGGGGCAGTGAGGGGAGACGAGGGGCAGTGAGGGGAGACGAGGGGCAGTGAGGGGAGACGAGGGGCAGTGAGGGGAGACGAGGGGCAGTGAGGGGAGACGAGGGGCAGCGAGGGGAGACGAGGGGCAGCGAGGGGAGACGAGGGGCAGTGAGGGGAAACGAGGGGCAGTGAGGGGAGACGAGGGGCAGTGAGGGGAGACGAGGGCCAGCGAGGGGAGACGAGGGGCAGTGAGGGGAGACGAGGGGCAGTGAGGGGAGACGAGGGGCAGCGAGGGGAGACGAGGGGCAGCGAGGGGAGACGAGGGGCAGCGAGGGGAGACGAGGGGCAGCGAGGGGAGACGAGGGGCAGCGAGGGGAGACGAGGGCAGCGAGGGGAGACGAGGGGCAGTGAGGGGAGACGAGGGGCAGTGAGGGGAGACGAGGGGCAGCGAGGGGAGACGAGGGGCAGTGAGGGAAGACGAGGGGCAGCGAGGGGAGACGAGGGGCAGTGAGGGGAGACGAGGGGCAGTGAGGGGAGACGAGGGGCAGTGAGGGGAGACGAGGGGCAGCGAGGGGAGACGAGGGGCAGCGAGGGGAGACGAGGGGCAGTGAGGGGAGACGAGGGGCAGTGAGGGGAGACGAGGGGCAGTGAGGGGAGACGAGGGGCAGTGAGGGGAGACGAGGGGCAGGGAGGGGAGACGAGGGGCAGCGAGGGGAGACGAGGGGCAGCGAGGGGAGACGAGGGGCAGCGAGGGGAGACGAGGGGCAGTGAGGGGAGACGAGGGGCAGCGAGGGGAGACGAGGGGCAGCGAGGGGAGACGAGGGGCAGTGAGGGGAGACGAGGGGCAGTGAGGGGAGACGAGGGGCAGTGAGGGGAGACGAGGGGCAGTGAGGGGAGACGAGGGGCAGGGAGGGGAGACGAGGGGCAGCGAGGGGAGACGAGGGGCAGCGAGGGGAGACGAGGGGCAGTGAGGGGAGACGAGGGGCAGTGAGGGGAGACGAGGGGCAGTGAGGGGAGACGAGGGGCAGTGAGGGGAGACGAGGGGCAGCGAGGGGAGACGAGGGGCAGCGAGGGGAGACGAGGGGCAGTGAGGGGAGACGAGGGGCAGTGAGGGGAGACGAGGGGCAGCGAGGGGAGACGAGGGGCAGCGAGGGGAGACGAGGGGCAGCGAGGGGAGACGAGGGGCAGCGAGGGGAGACGAGGGGCAGTGAGGGGAGACGAGGGGCAGTGAGGGGAGACGAGGGGCAGTGAGGGGAGACGAGGGGCAGTGAGGGGAGACGAGGGGCAGTGAGGGGAGACGAGGGGCAGTGAGGGGAGACGAGGGGCAGTGAGGGGAGACGAGGGGCAGCGAGGGGAGACGAGGGGCAGTGAGGGGAGACGAGGGGCAGCGAGGGGAGACGAGGGGCAGTGAGGGGAGACGAGGGGCAGGGAGGGGAGACGAGGGGCAGCGAGGGGAGACGAGGGGCAGCGAGGGGAGACGAGGGGCAGTGAGGGGAGACGAGGGGCAGCGAGGGGAGACGAGGGGCAGTGAGGGGAGACGAGGGGCAGTGAGGGGAGACGAGGGGCAGCGAGGGGAGACGAGGGGCAGTGAGGGAAGACGAGGGGCAGCGAGGGGAGACGAGGGGCAGTGAGGGGAGACGAGGGGCAGTGAGGGGAGACGAGGGGCAGTGAGGGGAGACGAGGGGCAGCGAGGGGAGACGAGGGGCAGCGAGGGGAGACGAGGGGCAGTGAGGGGAGACGAGGGGCAGTGAGGGGAGACGAGGGGCAGTGAGGGGAGACGAGGGGCAGTGAGGGGAGACGAGGGGCAGGGAGGGGAGACGAGGGGCAGCGAGGGGAGACGAGGGGCAGCGAGGGGAGACGAGGGGCAGTGAGGGGAGACGAGGGGCAGTGAGGGGAGACGAGGGGCAGTGAGGGGAGACGAGGGGCAGTGAGGGGAGACGAGGGGCAGCGAGGGGAGACGAGGGGCAGCGAGGGGAGACGAGGGGCAGTGAGGGGAGACGAGGGGCAGTGAGGGGAGACGAGGGGCAGTGAGGGGAGACGAGGGGCAGTGAGGGGAGACGAGGGGCAGTGAGGGGAGACGAGGGGCAGCGAGGGGAGACGAGGGGCAGCGAGGGGAGACGAGGGGCAGCGAGGGGAGACGAGGGGCAGTGAGGGGAGACGAGGGGCAGTGAGGGGAGACGAGGGGCAGTGAGGGGAGACGAGGGGCAGTGAGGGGAGACGAGGGGCAGTGAGGGGAGACGAGGGGCAGTGAGGGGAGACGAGGGGCAGTGAGGGGAGACGAGGGGCAGTGAGGGGAGACGAGGGGCAGCGAGGGGAGACGAGGGGCAGTGAGGGGAGACGAGGGGCAGTGAGGGGAGACGAGGGGCAGTGAGGGGAGACGAGGGCCAGCGAGGGGAGACGAGGGGCAGTGAGGGGAGACGAGGGGCAGTGAGGGGAGACGAGGGGCAGCGAGGGGAGACGAGGGGCAGCGAGGGGAGACGAGGGGCAGCGAGGGGAGACGAGGGGCAGCGAGGGGAGACGAGGGGCAGTGAGGGGAGACGAGGGGCAGCGAGGGGAGACGAGGGGCAGTGAGGGGAGACGAGGGGCAGTGAGGGGAGACGAGGGGCAGCGAGGGGAGACGAGGGGCAGTGAGGGAAGACGAGGGGCAGCGAGGGGAGACGAGGGGCAGTGAGGGGAGACGAGGGGCAGTGAGGGGAGACGAGGGGCAGTGAGGGGAGACGAGGGGCAGCGAGGGGAGACGAGGGGCAGCGAGGGGAGACGAGGGGCAGTGAGGGGAGACGAGGGGCAGTGAGGGGAGACGAGGGGCAGTGAGGGGAGACGAGGGGCAGTGAGGGGAGACGAGGGGCAGGGAGGGGAGACGAGGGGCAGCGAGGGGAGACGAGGGGCAGCGAGGGGAGACGAGGGGCAGCGAGGGGAGACGAGGGGCAGTGAGGGGAGACGAGGGGCAGCGAGGGGAGACGAGGGGCAGTGAGGGGAGACGAGGGGCAGTGAGGGGAGACGAGGGGCAGCGAGGGGAGACGAGGGGCAGTGAGGGAAGACGAGGGGCAGCGAGGGGAGACGAGGGGCAGTGAGGGGAGACGAGGGGCAGTGAGGGGAGACGAGGGGCAGTGAGGGGAGACGAGGGGCAGCGAGGGGAGACGAGGGGCAGCGAGGGGAGACGAGGGGCAGTGAGGGGAGACGAGGGGCAGTGAGGGGAGACGAGGGGCAGTGAGGGGAGACGAGGGGCAGTGAGGGGAGACGAGGGGCAGTGAGGGGAGACGAGGGGCAGGGAGGGGAGACGAGGGGCAGCGAGGGGAGACGAGGGGCAGCGAGGGGAGACGAGGGGCAGTGAGGGGAGACGAGGGGCAGTGAGGGGAGACGAGGGGCAGCGAGGGGAGACGAGGGGCAGTGAGGGGAGACGAGGGGCAGCGAGGGGAGACGAGGGGCAGCGAGGGGAGACGAGGGGCAGTGAGGGGAGACGAGGGGCAGTGAGGGGAGACGAGGGGCAGTGAGGGGAGACGAGGGGCAGTGAGGGGAGACGAGGGGCAGTGAGGGGAGACGAGGGGCAGCGAGGGGAGACGAGGGGCAGCGAGGGGAGACGAGGGGCAGCGAGGGGAGACGAGGGGCAGTGAGGGGAGACGAGGGGCAGTGAGGGGAGACGAGGGGCAGTGAGGGGAGACGAGGGGCAGTGAGGGGAGACGAGGGGCAGTGAGGGGAGACGAGGGGCAGTGAGGGGAGACGAGGGGCAGCGAGGGGAGACGAGGGGCAGTGAGGGGAGACGAGGGGCAGCGAGGGGAGACGAGGGGCAGTGAGGGGAGACGAGGGGCAGTGAGGGGAGACGAGGGGCAGTGAGGGGAGACGAGGGCCAGCGAGGGGAGACGAGGGGCAGTGAGGGGAGACGAGGGGCAGTGAGGGGAGACGAGGGGCAGTGAGGGGAGACGAGGGGCAGCGAGGGGAGACGAGGGGCAGCGAGGGGAGACGAGGGGCAGTGAGGGGAGACGAGGGGCAGTGAGGGGAGACGAGGGGCAGTGAGGGGAGACGAGGGGCAGTGAGGGGAGACGAGGGGCAGTGAGGGGAGACGAGGGGCAGTGAGGGGAGACGAGGGGCAGTGAGGGGAGACGAGGGGCAGTGAGGGGAGACGAGGGGCAGTGAGGGGAGACGAGGGGCAGTGAGGGGAGACGAGGGGCAGTGAGGGGAGACGAGGGGCAGTGAGGGGAGACGAGGGGCAGCGAGGGGAGACGAGGGGCAGCGAGGGATGATGAGCGAACCGGTCAGGAAATCCAGCACTCAAAGACGGTGTGCGCCTTGCTGGCATGGTAGCGGCGGGCGCAAAGGGAGGGCAGGGGGCATGGCATGAGGGGCAGAGGGGCGGCAGTGGTGGCATGGGCGGGATGAGATGCAAGAGATGGTTGGTGTACATGAGAGCCAGACGTCGAACCTCTCCTTCCATGACAAGGTGGCTCGGGAAGTAGGGTTGGGGGCGGGGGGGAGGGGGAGGAAGAGGGGAAGGGGAGATGGGGAGGGAAGGGTTTTAACGGGGATAAGCGTGGCTTTGGGTTGAAAGGGGGTAGCTGGATACGGGCAGGCGTGGTTTGGAACAAGCGGAGGGAAACGGCGCATGCGCTCGTGGGCGCATGTTCGCATGGATGGACTGGATAATGGGGGATGATGGGGGATGATGGGGGATGATGGGGGATAATGGGGGATGATGGGGGATAATGGGGGATGATGGGGGATAATGGGGGATAATGGGGGATGATGGGGGATGATGGGGGATAATGGGGGATAATGGGGGATGATGGGGGATAATGGGGGATGATGGGGGATGATGGGGGATGATGGGGGATGATGGGGGATAATGGGGGATGATGGGGGATGATGGGGGATGATGGGGGATGATGGGGGATAATGGGGGATAATGGGGGATGATGGGGGATAATGGGGGATAATGGGGGATAATGGGGGATAATGGGGGATGATGGGGGATAATGGGGGATGATGGGGAATGATGGGGAATGATGGGGGATAATGGGGGATGATGGGGAATGATGGGGAATGATGGGGGATAATGGGGGATGATGGGGAATGATGGGGGATAATGGGGGATGATGGGGAATGATGGGGGATAATGGGGGATGATGGGGAATGATGGGGGATAATGAGGGATGATGGGGGATGATGGGGGATGATGCACATGAGCGTTCCTTTGCCTGCCCTGTTTTGTGCTTTAGCTTCCCTCCCTATCTTTTCAAGTCTTCACTCTCTCACAGCCGCTCACGGCAATTCCACCCACGACACAGAGCCCTTCCCACCCACCCCGCGCCCCTCCCTCCCACATGCCCACTGCCCTTGGCTCTCACCTCTCCACGGTGGTGGCCCCCGTGTCGTCGGGCTCCCTAACGCACACCGTCGTCTGCGTCCTCTTAAAGAACGCCACGCCCATCTGCCGCGCAGCTTCCACGAACGCCGCCTCGTCGGGCGACTCCGCCTCGTACTCCACCTGCCCGGAAGCTTCGTCCACCTCGGGAATGACGGTGTGGCACACGGCCAGTATCCTTAAGAACATCCTAATCTCCTCGCGGTGCTCCTGCTGCAGCCACGCGCCCTCTAACAGCCTATTATCCCGCAGCGCAAACCCCTTAATTCCCGGCTTCGCGGTCCCGCTCGCCGCCGCCTCCGCCGCGGCGCGCTCCTCCTCCTCGTCGTAGTCCTCCAGCTCGCTCAAATCGCGCCCTAATCGCCGCGCCGTCGCGCGCTCCACCTCGGTAATGCCGCGCCCATACGCCACCCCCGCGATCGAGCACTTCAAGAAGTCCATCTGGTTACACGTCAGCGTACCAGTCTTATCACTAAGCACCGTGTCCACTTGCCCGAGCTCCTCGTTCAGGTTGCTGGTGCGCGCGCGCGCCGGCATGTCGGTGTCGGCGAAGTACATGGCGCGATCGGCGCTGATGAACCACGCCTGGAAGATCTTGACGATCTCGATGGACACGTAGAGCGAGATGGGGATGAGGTACCCGTACAGGATGATCGCCGTCAGACACTGCAGCGTCGACGACACCGCGGGCTTGGCGGGGTTGTAGTACGCGTCGGTGTTGGTGGGCGCGAGGTACCACCAGGAGGGCATCTGGTTCTTGGTGCGCACGCCGAAGACAATGCTGCCGACGACGGCCATGAGCAGCAGGCAGGCGAAGAGGAAGTAGATGATCTTGTCCATGCGCCGCTCGATGCTGCTCCGCTTGGACGGCGCCGCCGTGGAGTTCATCATCACCTTGCTGTCGTGCCCCGTGAATATCACCACGCCCACCACCCACGCCGTGTTTCTCAGCTTCGAGTCTCGCAGCAGCACCTGCGCTGCGGTGAGCGCCGTCGCCTCCCCGTCCCACTCCAGGTTCCCCACGAACGTGTACAGGCTCGGGTTCGGGTCCTCGCATTTGATCTCCGCCGCGAATTTCCCCAGCGCCGCGGGGTCTTCGAGCGGGAGCGTGCGCTCGAGCGCCTTGCGCAGCTTGAGGTTGGTCTCGCCGTCCAGGTTCATTGTTTCCACGTAGCACACGCCGTCCGGGTAGCTGGAGGCGAGCATTAGGAGGTCCGCGGGGAAGAACTCGTCCTTGACGACTTTGACCACGTCGCCCACGCGCACCGCCTTCCACTCGCACGCCTCGAAGCTCCCCTCGCCCACGTGGCGCAGCACCTTGCGCTTGTTCACCTCGTCGTCCTGGCGGAAGAGGGGGGAGGGGGAAGGGAGGAGGCAGAGAGTTGACGGGGAGGAGGAGCCGCGTGGGAGGGGGGGAGGGGGGGAGGGGGAAGAGGGGAGGATGAGTGCAAGGAGCAAGCTTGGAGGCGTTGCGGTAGGAGAGATGGTTACCCGAACATCCATTCTCTCCAATTCTGCTCTCCAAACCCACGACTACCCTCTCCTGGTGGCCCATGATGCCCTCAATCATCAGCCATGTTCCCGAGGGGTATCCGGTTTTTTCACATCCGTTGATTTCACAGAAACTGCCAGCACGTAAGGACTGACAGCAAGAAATACTCAAGAACTCACGGCGAGGAAGCGGCGCCAGTCCTCGATGGCCTCTTTGATCATGCTCACGCCAACCACCAGCACCAGCGGCGCGATCAGACTGTACGGCGCGTACGGCGTGAGGGGGGTGAGCGCGAGGATGGCGCAGAGTAGGAAGTAGAGATTGGCCACGCGGCGGAATTGCTCAAAGAGAGCCTTCGGAAGGAAGGAGAGGATCGAGTACTTAGTGGTCGAGATCGAATTGTTACAATAGTGAAGGTGGCTGCCTTTTTCCACGTGGCGCTGCGGCTCGTTGCAGTACACGTGGCGCTGAAAGCCTTTCTCTCCGAGAAGCTCGGTCTCGTCGCCACGTGGACGGATGCAGCCCGCGTATGAAAGGAGCCGCGAGAGGCGCACGCGCGTTTTAGACTTAGACTTAGACGACATGATGGCGACCTAGTTGATACTACCTTTAGAGAATGTTACGAGATGAGTAAATTGGCTACGGTCGCTAGGAGCGCGGTACGGCTAAGTTCCTGTGCGTTTTAGTGTCGTCCTCGTGTGTTCTAACCGAAAACAAGGATCCTACCTTGACGAATTGACTATTATAAAGCTTCTAACGACGCCATTGTTGGCGATCCCAGCTGGAGGAGGCGCGTCAAGTCTCATATGACTCCATGTGACTCGACGTGACTCTCCTAAATCCGATTCAGCTTGTCGACCAACAGTGACAGGAACAGCCCCTCGCACGTTACTCGCTGAGTGGCCGACGGGAGTGCAGTGGGGAAGACGGAATAGAAGCACGTGCTTGGAGTGCTGTTGTGTAATTGTGGGCTTGGTGTGCTCAGGTTGGGTTGGTTGGGTTCTTCACCAGCAGCTGAGTGCCATTGACTTGGGGCTGTGGCCCGAGGCGGAACAAAATAGGCGCGGGGGACTACCGCTCCGCCAATGTCTGCAATCCCCAAGCTATGCACTGCTGCAGCGCAGTGGTCCCCCGGGCGAATGGCGCAAGGCTTGGACGGACCAGGCGGCATTGGCATTCCCTCCCGAATCCCGAGACCAGACGACCGACTGGAAGGCCGAGTGTCACCGAGTGACAAAGCAGTGTAATTACCCTGACTTCCAGAGGCCTACTGCAAGTGCTTCGCTCGCGGGTGCAAGGGAGGGGAGAAGCCAGTCGCGAGCGCGGAGTAAGTTCCCGCCAGAAACAGTGCCGCGCACGCAACGCGCCTGCTGTCAAGCTCCGCTTCAAGGTTCTACCGTCCCGTTCCCGTTTCGTGTTCTGTTCTGGCTTGCCCTAGCTCGCCTCGCCGCCGCCTCTCAGACCGGATTTGCTGGAGGGACGGATCCTCCCCACCCGCAGCCCGTTCCTCAGTGTCGAAAACGGCGTTCCGTGGGAAGTGACGTCATGCAACACGTGGGAAGTATGTGGCTGTGTGAAGCTCTCTAGGTTCCGACTTGGCCGATTCGTGGCTTCGGTTTACGAGACAGAACATGTGTTCTGAGCGCAAAACAGCGAGAAACGAGAATTGTCTTAGCGAAGATTATTGCACAATTCGCAACATCTAATACTATGAAAGCGCGAAGGGGTTGTTTGCCCTAAGGGCGCCGAGCCCGGGAAATAGGCGAACTTTGATGTTTAACTAGGCGAAAACATTTGGGGCAGGGCCTCAGATAGGATTTTGGGCATCAGAGCATGCCCCCAAAGAAGCGTGCAGCAGTCAGGGCTGGACGCCATGGCTCACACTGATTAGTCAGGGTTGTTTTCTAGGTACAAACTGTCGCCTCAGGGTAAATTTATAAATTTCCTGAAATGTGGCTCAAGGTCACTTAGCTGCATCAGCAGCAGTAACAGCAATACAAAGCTCTAACACTAGAAGTTCCCATCATCATCATCACTGGAGGTAAACCCGCTGCTAGCACAGCTGTCCTCCTCTACCTTACGATCCTCCCCCTCAGACAGTTCTATCACATTCTCCTTGCCCTTGGCCGTCTTCTTGGGGCGTACTTCCTTCTGAAAGGCTCTCCTCGGTCTGCGTTTCTTGAGGCCACGCCACATGTCAATGACCTCATCCTAGTCCATCTCATAATCCAGCAAACTCATACGCATCAGATCCTCCAGCTTCCCATTGCAGAGACTCGTGCGATTCCAACTTTTGATGACATTCTGACGCGAGAATCCCCTCTCGCACTCGACAGTGCTTAGGGGAAGTACCGCCATAGCCACCCACAATCCCACAAGATTGGGATAGCTGCGCGGCCAGTCACTGGTCTCGAGGATGGCGGCGAGACCAGCATGGAAGGGCTGCTCGTCCTTTGGTACACCAGCAAGCACGGGAAGGAGGGTACCAAGCTCCTTTCGCGCCAGGCGCTTGTCGACACCTGCCACACATGAACAGTTTCACGGAAAACATAGAAATCCGTCAGTAACTCAGGCAAAAACATCAAGAGCACAGCAAAACACGCATACAGTGGTATGATACATGCACATGACCTTACCTGGCAGGATCTCTGCTCGGTCGGTGGCACGAAACAGCTCGACGACTCCGTCCAGGTGTTCGACACACTCCTCATTCCGCGCCTCCATGTTCCGCGGCCAGGAGCGAGGCATCCACAGCTTCGCCCCGTTGAGGCGCTCTAGATCGCCGAGCCGGAGCTGCACATTGTAGACGAGCTCCGTCGCATAGGAGCGGCAGGTTAGGTTGCACGACGCTTGGTCCCCGCGGGCAGTGGTGTATTTCGGGAGCGGCTCCTCGTGCAGCTCGAACTGATGCACACGCTCCACGCCCTCCGCATCGACGCCCGTCACGATGACCTCACGGCTGTTGTTGTGGCGCTCCAGAAACTGAGATAGTCGCACGCTGGTGGCGCCGAAGTTGGGCCCGCAGTTGATGTAGCGCGAACGAAGGAAGACGACGGTCCGTCGGACCTGAGATTGCACACCTGTCAGGTCCACCTGTGGGGGCGGGTGGGGGAAGAAGACATGCAGAAGCTGTAGGTTGGGGTTTAGGGGGGCAAGAGGGTAATATACACGGCGGGTAACGCACCTCTCGCTTTTGGAAAAGCTGGTTAAGCGTGTTCAGCTCCTCGTGCACGTTGGCCAGGAAGTATAGGAAGAAGTGGAATTTGTATGACGTGATGATGTGGTACATCGGCTTATCGTAGAGGTGAAGGAGGACGATGACGGCGGGAAGAACTGCGACCAGTCTGAGAATCGCTGCGCCCCGACTGAGCCAGCGAACGAGATATATCCCCTGCATCTCCAAATTTGTGGCGGTGAAGATCTTCTGTAACTCCTTGAACATGGCGTGCCAGTTGTGCGACCGCCCCAGTAGCTCAGCCACTGCTCGGATTATGGCGTCGACGATGCCAAGCTCCGGCAACGCGATGGCGGCATCCCTTGCTGCCAAAGCTTCCCTGATAGGGGGGAGGAAAGGAACAAGCATAAAGAGCATGAGTAAGTGTGGCCGAGATTCAATACGAGACGATGAGCAATCATTACGTCACGAACCGATGCGCAATGCAATGTATTGACACGATGTGCGGAATTCTCTGTCGCAGGCGTCCGACGACGCCATTGGTTGCTCTGACCATCACTGCTGCACAGTCGGTGCTGATGCCCGCCACTTTGTTCAAGGGGAGGCTGATGCTGTCAAGGAACGTGACCAGAGAAGCCTCCAACGAGGCCGCATCACACTTGTTGACAGGTAAAAGGGTTAGGAACTCTGTCACAACGACGCGCTCCCGTAGGAACGTGGCAAACACAATCATGTGTTTGCCACGAACCCTGTCCGTGCTCTCATTGCAGCTCAGACCGATGAAAAGGCTAGACTCGAGATACTCCCTCTTACGAGCTCGCAGGTAGATGGCAGTGGACTTGGTGAGCTCTTGAAATCCATACCTGCACAGGATGCAGACGCAAAACGCATGTCAGTAAGTGCCCGTGAAGAGCATACAGTGAGTTGCAGAAATAAGACGAAGGGAGTTACGTGGTGAAGTATGAGCCATAGCCGCGCTTGGGGAAACCCGGAGTTCGTCGCTTGGAGAGGTGGCGCACCAACTGGACCCACATCTCAATGGGCGCATCGCACTGACAAATGAACAAGAGCATCTCGAGCAGTGCCGTGACGCGTTCTCGCTAGATCCTGTTGGTCCTCGGCATGTCCTCCATGCGCAGCTGTCCCTCCGCAGTCGCAGTCACGATAACTTGCTTCCGCATCGCCCGCTTGTGCTTGCGTGTGCGCTGGTGGTTCTGCATGGCTTGAGTCTGCACATTAGTCGCCCCCTCCCCACCCTTGCCGTAATTTGTGCCCACGCTACCGTGTTCCATACAGATGCGACACTTCAGAGCCGGAAAACCTGCACGCGTCTGACAGAGGAAAAGCCACGGGAAGTCACTGCTCCAGCGTTTCTTGATACTTGCGCTCTGCAATATCTTCAAGCTCAGATTCGAAGGACGATGAGGGAGCGGGAGAAGGTTCTGGAATGACAGAGGGGACAACGTGGAGCGCGAGTGCAGTTGACTCTGGGGTGCGACCGAAGTTGAGCGTGGCCTGCCGATGTCGTGATGGCTCCAATTTCTTCGACCGTGGGCCGATGCGAGTTGATCCATGCGTTAGCAAAATCTCTGGCGAAGAACCGCGCCACGACGTCGACGCCACAGCGGGGCGAGATGCCTCTGCCACGGCCTTTACTGAGCGCGTACGAGGCGCTGATGCGGCAGCGGGAGGTGGCACTCCAGGGGCGGGTGTTAGGAATAGAGCGGCGAGAGAACGCGATGCAGCGGCGGGGGTACGCGATGCAGCAGCGCGATCTAGCACATCAACGACATGGGGACTCTTCCGAAGATAATCTAATCCAGTAACGCCGCTAGTGTGGTTTGCTGTAGCAGGCTTGGCGGGAGCCTCCCCGTCGTCATCGTCACTTCCTGTCGCATTCATCGTGCCCCCAACGCTAGGGGGATACGGACTGCGCAGAAACAGAGCTGCTAGGAGGAACTCACTACGGTAGCACGAGCAGTGTAAACAACTACAGAATCGACTTCAACCATGGCTGGAGAGGGAAGCTTGAGGAGGAAGGTCGGAACAGAGGCTGCTTAGTCGAGTTGCAGGACCACGGTCCATTGTTGCCCAGCCAGCCAACCACATGCAACCGTGGTTTGCTGCCAAACACTTTGATAGCACCACACTGCTTGTACAGCAACGCTGTATATCAAGTGTTGCGCTGGATGGTATACTTAGCCGCTATTGGCTCATTCCATTTGTTATCTGCAGCGCAGGCGGCAAACTCAGCGCGCTGTGACAGCTAAGGTAGCATAATACAGGGAAAATGTGTGCTGTCACGAAATTCTCGGCAGAATGGGCGAAAAACAGGGGGGTACCCCAGGGCGCGCATGTGCAGGCAAGATTCCATGTATCAGGGTCATCCCCGAAGGCATCCTGACTGCTCAGGGCTGGTACATGCACACCATACTGAGTTTTCAGGGTTGCACTATGAATCAAAAACTGAATTTACAGGGTGAAAATGGGCCTTAAACTGAATTTTCAGGACTGGCCCTAAACAAGCATCCCGAAGATCAGGAATTCAGGATAAAACATCATGATATTTGAGGGCCTGATTTGGGGGCTTCAATCACGGGAGGAAATTCAGAGGCGACGAACGAAACAGATACCAGGGATACAAAAATTGCGCGAGATCAGCCCTTAGCTACGCGTAATACCTGGAAAAAGAAGAAGAAGAAGAAGAAGAAGAAGAAGAAGAAGAAGAAGAAGAAGAAGAAGAAGAAGAAGAAGAAGAAGAAGAAGAAGAAGAAGAAGAAGAAGAAGAAGAAGAAGAAGAAGAAGAAGAAGAAGAAGAAGAAGAAGAAGAAGAAGAAGAAGAAGAAGAAGAAGAAGAAGAAGAAGAAGAAGAAGAAGAAGGATTTGCAAAACATGAGCACTCAACAAAGCACGAAGTCCACAGAAATGGAATGAAACAACGTTATGCTCAACAGAACTAGTATGAATTTTTCTACGTGCATGCGGGTACTGTCAAACATATCCTTATATGTAGTTATAGACTACACAAGGTTGTGCCTTAGAGAGTACAATCCACTAGGTTATATTCCCTTGTATGCCATGGTTCTAGTCATTCGTTAACTTTGATATGGTATCATGAGTAGGTTAGGTCCCACCCGCCCACCAGCGCTTCCGCCGTAGGTCCTAGCCGCCCCGTCGCCCTCCCGCCCGTGCTGGCCCGTCCCCTAGTGGCCCCCGTCACCTAGCGCCTAGCTGGCCCCGTCGCCTAGCTGACCCTATCGCTTAGCCGGCCCCGTAGCCCAGCCGGCCCCGTCGCCTAGCCCGACCCCGTCGCCTAGCTGGCCCCGTCGCGTAGCCGGCCCCGTAGCCCGGCCGGCCCCTTCGCCTAAACCGGCCCCATCGCCTAGCCGGCCCCGTCGCCTAGCCGGCCCCGTAACCCAGCCAGCCCCGTCACCTAGCTGGCCCCGTCGCCTAGTCGGCCCAGTCACCTAGCTGGCCTTGTCACCCTGCTGGCCCCGTTGCCCAGTCGGCCCCGTCGCCCAGCCTGCCCCGTTGCCCAGCCGGCCCCGCCGCCTAGCCGGGCCCGTCGCCCAGCTGGCCCCGTCACCTAGCCGCCTATCCTGTGAGAGAACGACCCCGTTACACCACTTGGCCTTTTCTTATTTCCTTCCTTTTTCATTTCTCTTTTATTCCATCTCATTTGGTTTCCTATTCTTCCTTTTCCATTAACCTTTGGTTTATCCTGCTATTATAATTATATCACCGACCAGGCTTGGGATGTACTGGTGCGCTCTATCTAGCGTAATCCTGCTGTAATCCCTTAAAGCCAATAGCCTCGCGTGGCTATACGCAGGGTGATTCTATCTTCTAGAAGGGTCTATTCCCCTAGGATAAGATAAACCTGGTTACCTGATGTACTCTGGAAGTATTTAGGCACCTTATACTGATCGATAGTGCAATCTTTCCTCGACACATTCGATCCTGTGACACTTGGTAATCAGAGCCTTTTCTCACTCGGCCGCGCTCAACAAAGCAGCAGCAGCAGGAAAACCTGCCTCGAAAAACCGCCGGGGGCGACCAATTCGACGCCGATTCTGGTAAGCACCAGCTCCGCGATTTTCGAATTACCCCCTCCGTGCGTGTTTTGAATAGGATGGCAACCTTCGACAACGCCGAGGTTACCCAGCAGCTCTTCGCGCGCATCGCAGCCCTTCAGGAGGAAATGCGAGCGGATCGCGAAGCGTGGCGAAACGAGTTCGAGCGAGTAACTCGACTCGCCGGCGCGCAGCACGAGACGACAACGGCGACGACGCAGCAGTCGCAGCAGTTTCTCGAGGCTCCGAAACCGCGCCCACCAGAGCTGTTCGATCCGAGCGATCGAAACTCCGACGCACGCAGATGGATCGCCGGGATGGAGATCTACTTCGCAGCCGTCGGATGGAGCTCGCCAGTCTGGGACGGTCAACGTGTATGACTCGCGGCGACACTGATGCGAGGGCCGGCACTCGAATGGATTGGCGGCAACAGTACCTTCATCCACGGTGAAGCCACGTGGCAGCAGTTCCGCGCCGACCTGCTGAAACGCTTCGAGCCGATAAATTCCAGTTTCCTTGCCCGGGAAAAAAATCATCGACACCGACAGTTCGGGAGTGTAGCGCAGTACACGCAGCAAATGGAGGAATTTTATAACCGCATCCCCGACCTGACCGAAGGGGAAAAAGTACAATCGTACCTCGCCGGGCTGAAGACCGAAGTCAAACGCAGGTAGCAGCGTCAAACTACGCGAGCTACAGTGACGTCGTTTCGGCAGCGGAGCGCTTCGACATGGTCAACGCCGGAACACGACGGACGCACGTCGGCAGTACGCGACAGGGCGACCGCTCGGCTCACCCTACGTTCGCCGACCCGATGGAAGTCGACAGATTCGAGGGGCGGCCACGTCCGAAAAACACCAATTACACGTGTGATTTTTGCGGGGTGCCGGGTCATCAAATCTTCGACTGCAGCAAAATGAAAGCCGCACGCGCAGAGTATCGGGCACGCAACAGTGGCGGAATTCCTTCAGCCAATCAGAAGCCAAAAAACGGGAGTCGCCAGTGATTGCGGATCTAGCTGGCGAAAATAAAAAGATCCGAAAACGGCCGCGGGATTCCGGGAAAATCAACTTCGACGAAGCTGATTCGACGCGAGAAGGAGGAAATGATGGGGGAAAATCTCCACCCCACGACCAGTCCTCGCCAGGGAAAATCGCCGAGGAAAAATACGACTCCGCGAAAAAGGACTCTGCCGAGACGGGGAAAATCCTTGAAGACCCAAGGAATTATAAGAATTCGTTAAAGTTATATTATAAAGATGCTTTAATGAAAACTTATGATGTTCGAGGGGCTAGAGCCTTGGAGAAAATTCGGGAAGGTCTCCAAAAGAAGCAGACAGCTGTGGAGATTTACCGGTATTGGACAACTTGGGGAAAAAATTAAGGAGTGTGGAAAGAAGCCGACCTTTCCACGGAGTCAACGTCCTCTGCCGACACCAGCCCACAATGACTACCTGTTCCCCAGGGAAGACGTCGGTGGAGCTGAAGCAGCTCAAGAGGAAGCTGGGGGTCTATAAGAAGCTGCACAAACCCTAAACTCCTCCTCCGGATGCATCCAGTTCTTCGGCATCAACGACGCGCACAGTCGTCAAGGAAACTCCGGGCCCTGGAGAAGAGCCGTTCTCCAAGCAGCCTCGGCCAGCTGCCAGCTCAGGGTTAGATAGAAACACAAAGGTGTGTACGGAATATTGGGATGTACCCTATGACCCAATCAATGAAACTATCTTTGGGTACTCCGAGCAACGACTGCCCCTCGTGCTCGAGGTCATCTGCAAAGGACGACGCCTCCAAGCACTCGTGGACAGCGGAGCATCACACACCGTCTGCGACAAGGCAGTAATCGACTGACTTCGGGAAGAGTACAAGCCTTCAGGATTCTCTGCAACGATGGTGGACGGAAGCAAGTTACCAGTACACGGCGAAGCAGTGCTACACCTACAAATTGGACCACTGCGCTGGAGACCTGGACTCCCCATCACCAACATCAAAGGGCTTGACTTGATCTTCGGGCGAGACTTCCGACAAAGATTCAACCCCGAGATCAACTGGGTGAATCGCACCGCAAGTATCTACAACAATGGACGGAGAGTACAGCTACCCAACGCATCAACACGAGATCGTGAAGGAACCGGGTTCGAAGCCGACCTTCCGAGCACCATATCGGCTCAGCCCTACGGAGCTGACCGACATGAAAAAACAAATCGAGTATCTCCTAGCCAAAGGACTCATCCGACCATCCACTTCGCCGTACGGTGCCCCAGTACTCTTCACACCGAAACCGGACCGAAGCCTGCGCATGTGCATCAACTACCGAGCTCTTAACAAGCAGACCATCAAGAATCAATATCCGATACCGCGAATCGATGACCTGCTTGACCAGCTTCGGGGAGCTACGGTATTTTCCAAACTGGATCTGCGATCTGGATACTGGCAGATACGCATGGCGGACAACTCTATCCACAAAACTGCTTTCCGAACTCGGTATGAACGTACGAGTATTTGGTAATGCCGTTCGGACTCACCAACGTACCGGCAACGTTCCAAGCCGAAATGAACCACATTCTACGACCACTTATGGACGAGTGCTTGGTGGTGTACCTGGACGACATACTCATCTACTCGCACGACATGAAGCAGCACGTCGAACACCTGCGACGCGTCTTCGAAATTCTTCGACGAGAACGATTCTACGTCAAACTGTCCAAGAGCGAATTCGCCCTTGAGAAGGTCCAGTTCCTAGGACACATGGTGAGCGCTCAAGGAGTTCACGTCGACCCCAAGAAAATCGAAGCCGTACGCACGTGGAAGACACCCGAGAACGTGAAGGAGTTGCAGCAGTTCCTAGGCTTCGCCAATTACTACAACAGGTTCGTGCCACAGTATGCGAAAATCGCAGCACCACTCACGAATCTGCTGAAGAAGAACACGCCCTACAAATGGGAGCCGAAGCACCAGGAAGCCGTGGAGCAGCTGAAGCAAGCACTTACGTCCGCACCGGTACTCATTTTGCCAGATCCCGAACGCGACTACGTCATCGAAGCTGACGCCAGCGACCAGGCAGTGGGAGCAGTCTTAATGCAAGATCAAGGGAATGGGCTGCAACCAATCGCCTACCTGAGTAAGAAACTACACGGGGCAGAACTCAACTACCTGATACACAACAAGGAGGCCCTGGCTATCATCATCGCCTTCAAAGCGTGGAGATGTTATCTCGAAGGACGAAGAACAACCGTCTACACCGACCACTGCAGCCTGAAATACTTGAAGACGCAACCCAACCTTTCCAGGAGGCAGGTCCGGTGGATCGACTTCCTCGAGACACACTTCCACTACGACATCGTGTACAAGCCCGGTCACAAGAACAAAGCAGACGCTCTCAGCCGGCTTGCACACGTTGCCGCTATTCAAGTCGAAGGGATGAATCCACTACTCAAGGGATTCTTCACACACGGGTACGCCACTGACCCCGAAATCCCCTTGGCAGAAAAGCGACATCTGCTACAGTGGGACAGTGACATCGCGTACCGGAAAGGATCAACAAAAATCTGGGTACCCAATTACCCTCCTTTGCGCCAGTTACTACTCGAAGAATACCACGACGTCCTCTACGCCGGACACTTCGGTAGCAACAAAACGCTCACCGGTATCGCCAAACACTACTACTGGCCCCACTTAGCAGAAGATGTCCAGAAATTCATCACCTCGTGTCATACATGTCAGCGGATGAAGAGTACCAAGCAGAAAAAGGCGGGACTACTGCAGCCTCTTCCTGTCCCAGAACAACCATGGCAAGTGGTTAGCCTGGACTTCATTACCGGGTTACCACCTACCTCCAGCGGTCATGACGCCATCCTTGTCGTCATCGACAAATTCTCCAAAATGGGACACTTTATCCCGACACACACGACAGCACGCACCGAAGAAACAGCACAACTCTTCGTTCGATACATCATCTCACAGCATGGCATTCCAACCACACTCATCTCCGACCGAGACCCTAAGTTCACCAGCAAGTTCTGGAAGGAACTTATGTCTCTCCTGGGGACCAAACTCGCCATGTCATCTGCTTACCATCCGCAGACAGACGGACAGACCGAGCGCCTCAACCAAATTGTTGAGCAACTCCTCCGAGCAGCCTGCAAGGACGAGATCTCCAAATGGGACTTGCACCTGCCCGTACTAGAGTTTGCTTACAACAATGCTACACATGCCGCTACTGGACAGACGCCGTTCTTCCTCTGCTACGGACGCCACTCACTCACACCACAAAAACCGACAGCATCAGCTACAGTCCAACCAGCACATGATTTCATCACAACCATGCATTAGCTTTGGGATCGGACCCACAAGCGCCTACTCGACATTGAACAGCAACAGAAGCGCCAGGCCGATCGCCGTCGCAACGACCACACCATCACAGTGGGAGACCAAGTGCTTCTTGACACCCGCAACCTGGACATCAGCCACCTTCCATCTAAACTTCGACCTCGCTTCTGCGGGCCTTTTCTCGTTGAAGCACAGGTCACTCCTGTTACCTTCCGCTTACGCCTGCCAGCTACCTGGAAGATTCACAATGCCTTCCACGTCCAACTTCTGAAGCCCTATCGGGACCCGAGCACGATTTTCGTCGGACGCCAACCGCCGCCGCCACCGCCCGTCCTCGTCCAGAATGAACCCGAGAACGAGGTCGAGTCCGTGCTCGCACACCGCCGTCGTCGGAATGGCACAGTGGAGCTTCTCATCCGTTGGAAGGGTTATGATCCTTCTGAGGACAGCTGGGTACCTGAGTCCGACATGGGTAACGCCCGTCGTCCTCTGCATGACTACCTTGTCAAGCAGGGTGTTACTTCTACCACCCAGCTTTGAGGGGGGGAAGTGTGAGAGAACGACCCGTTACACCACTTGGCCTTTTCTTACTTCCTTCCTTTTTCATTTCTCTTTTATTCCATCTCATTTGGTTTCCTATTCTTCCTTTTCCATTAACCTTTGGTTTATCCTGCTATTATAATTATATCACTGACCAGGCTTGGGATGTACTGGTGCGCTCTATCTAGCGTAATCCTGCTGTAATCCCTTAAAGCCAATAGCCTCGCGTGGCTATACGCAGGGTGATTCTATCTTCTAGAAGGGTCTATTCTCCTAGGATAAGATAAACCTGGTTACCTGATGTACTCTGGAAGTATAAAAGCGCCTTGTACTGATCGATAGTGCAATCTTTCCTCGACACATTCGATCCTGTGACATATCTGGCCCCGTCGCCTCGCCGCCCGTGGCCCTGTCTCCTAGCCGCCACTTCAGAGTTAACTGCTATAACGGGAGCTTCTGCGGAAGTTGTCAAACTAGAAACTAGGACGCCATGAAAGTGGCGTGAGGTTTTAGGAGCTAGGAGAACCAGGAGAGGGAGATTTGACGAGAGAAAAGAGAGCTGACTAGGAAGAGAGAGGGATACAAGGAGGGGTGTTGTACCCTGTACAGTAATGTTCAGTAACCGCTACCAAGCCTACAATTATATAGTAACATATATAATTTAACACACCCCCTAGGCTTGGTAGCAAGGACCCACACACCCCCACACCCCCTAACCTAGCACCCCCATTCCCATTAGCCACGTCTACTCCAACTGGGCCAACCCCAAGGCCCTGGAGATGGCGACGGCGGCAGTCCCGGCAGCGGCGACAGCGACGGTGACGACAGGCGTGCGGCGGCAACAGGCCTGCGACGACGACAGCGGCGACGGCGACGGCTTCGGCTTACGACGGCGGTAACGGCTGCGGCCCCCGCCCTTCCGGTGGCGTGTCCATACTCCGCGACAGGGGGACGACCGGCGAGAGGCAGGCGACGGCTGTGGCGAAGAGGAGGGGACGGAGGGAAGGGGAAAGGGGCGAGGCTTCGGATCTTCAGCGCGGTGCCATTGCAGGCGCGGCGCTTACTGGCGGGCGGGCGGGCGGGCTGCAATTCCAGCAGCGACGCAGGTCGTGCGCGACGGCAACAGGCCGACGTCACGGCTGAGGCACCACGACGACGCCACCATAGCGTGGCGTCAGAGCCGCGGTTGCTCGTCGACGCTGGGACGACAGCACACAAAGGCCGCAGCGGCATCTTGGAAAAACTGCCACGGCGGTAGGCAGTAGGAAAGCCGCGGCGGCGGCGAACAGGGAACGAGAACGCAGCGGAAGCGAGGAGGGGAGCAGGCCCAGGACGGGCGTCCTGCTCTGAAACCATGTCAAACTAGAAACTAGGACGCCATGAAAGTGGCGTGAGGTTTTAGGAGCGAGGAGAACTAGGAGAGGGAGATTTGACGAGAGAAAAGAGAGCTGACTAGGAAGAGAGAGGGATACAAGGAGGGGTGTTGTACCCTCTACAGTAATGTTTAGTAACCGCTACCAAGCCTACAATTATATACTAGCATATATAATTTAACAGAAGTGCCTGACGCAGATAGAGCACTCTAGCTTTGTGGTTCTCTTAGGAGAGAGTTACCTTCAGAATTGTGTGTTCCACTGAGTAGCTTGAGAAAGCTTGGGCACACAAATTCACTAGAATCAAGATGACAAAGTATGGTACACAAGGTAAACACTAGTTGTACCTCATTGAACACGAAGAGAATGTTCGTACGAGAACGTTTACATAACTACTCTAAGCTGCGCTTAGCCAAGTCAGCAATGGCAGGTGAAAATTACAGCACATGCCTAGTTGGTAATTTTTACCCACTTAGAAGTAGTTGTTTCAACAATTTCAGATATGAAACTGTCAGATGTTACGCACATTTCCACAGTTACGAAATGTGCGTCACGTGTTCAATTTCTCAATGTCGCAGGTAGATTTTGCCGTTTTCGGTCCAGATTGGTTCTGTGGTTAACTGACGAAATCGCAATTTTCTCACGATTTCGGAATGCTACCTACATCAGAAAAACTAAGTCCCCGTTTTTCTGTCGAAGGGGTCGCTCGCAGAAGCGAAGTCCGAGATGACTTTCTGCCGCGCTTCTGCCGAATTTCGTCTCTGCCGAGGGGGTCGACAACAGAAGTGATAGCCGAATTGTCTTTCTGCCGAACTTCGGCAGAACGCTATTCTGCGCGAACAGGTCCTTGCGCAACTGTGCCCGAGGTCCTGTTGGAACGCATTTCTGAGAGTCGATTCTGCCGAAAGGGTCGCCTGCAGAAATGTCTTCTGCGCGCTACTTCGGCAGAGGGTCTTGTACACTCTCGATTCTACCGAGACCGCTTCTACAAAAGAACATGTCGATGTAGAAGCCATATGCAGAAAAAGCGCTCTTGTTCTGCCACCAACGAAAAACTGCTCCTGTGCCACTTCCCGCAGAGCCTCGCCTTATCGACAAATCTCCTCTTCGTTGATGGGCCTTTCTGCAAGGCTCGTCTCCGCAGACTTCGTTGATGTCCCGCATCAGCAGACTTCTGCAACCTTCGCAGAATCAAGGCTATTCTCACTAGCCACGCGGCCCCTGTTGACCAGCCGCCCCTCGGCCTCACTGCACCGCACTGCACCGCATCGCACTGCACTGCACCGTACTGCACCGCACCCTACCGTACTGCACCTCACTCTACCGCAGTCTACCGCATTGCACCGCATTGCACCGGACACCACTGCTTCCCGCCGCACTCTGTCGCTCAGTACAGCCCGCTACCGCCTTTCTGCTCCTGAAGCGACCATGATGGTGGACTCTGTGCTGTGCTTTGACGCGGAGGGTCAGCCGGTTGAGTTCGACACGTGGCTCGTCGACCTCCGCCATCACCTCACTGGTCAGCGGCAGGACGGCCACTCCTTGGCCGTCCACATCGACGGTACGCTCCCCTGCCCTGACCCCCCTGCTGCTCTACCCGCTAACCCCACCTCTGCTGACCGTGAGTCCGCTGCCATTGCTGCCCTTGCCCGTGCTGTCTCGTTGTCGCGTGACGCTGTCGCACAACTCGCGATTAGTCATGCCCTCCCCCTGTCTGAGCGCCCCCGCTTTAGGTCGGTTAGGAATGCGCAGAAGTTCCTAGAGGCTATTGTCGCGCGCTATTCCATCCCGCCCTCTGCCACCGTCGGTCGCCTGATCCTGCCCATGTTCTTTCCTGATCTCGCGTCTTTCTCCACTGTCGCTGACCTGGCCGCCCACTTGCGGACGCCGAATGCGACCTGGCGCGCTGCCTGCACCGAGGCCCAACTTCGTGTGTTTCAGCCCCCCATCTGCACTGTTTCAGCTTCCCTGCCCCCGTCGGTCGCATCATAACGTCGGGTGGTGGTCCCAGTGACCGGCGCTGCTAGTACCAGCTCCTGACCAGCCCTCGCCGCGGCCTCATGTGCGGTAAGACCGGCCATACCCCTACTCGTTGTTTCAGTCGCCTGGACGACCTATTTCGTCTCCGCTTCGGCCCGACGCCAGACCTCCCCGACTGGCACAATCTGCTCCGCCGTAGTGTTAGGATCTTTGGTATGGACATGGATGAGATTAGCTCTGCTTTGTATATGCTGTATGTCGATGACTCTCGTATGACTAGTTCGTATTACCTCGTATTGCCTAGTGTAGGTGTGCCTAGTGTGCCCAGTTCAGACTCCCCTGCTGCGTCAGGCATAGGATCCCCTGCTTTGTTTAGCCTTGGCTCCACCCTTGCTCTTCAAACCCCTGCCACCACTGCTGTGGTGCACCCCATTTTCTGTGGCCGTTCGCTACGCCGCTCACCAGCTTAACCTGTGGCCGCACCCTCAGCGGCCGCAGGTTTCGCCGAGCCTCCTCTGGACCGGGTCTCCTGGTGACACGTCTGCATTCCACGCTTGGGGCTGCCTTGCTCACGTTCGTGCCTCCGGCACGGACAAGCTAACTGTGGGCACTTTCCCCTGTGTCTTCCTAGGTTTCCCCCTCGACTCATTGGACTGGCAGTTCTACCACCCGCCGTCTCACCGTTTCTTTCACTCTCGTGACGTCACCTTTGACGAGTCCGTCTCCTTCTACCACCGCATTCCCCACCGTGGTCCCCCAGTCACTCCCCCCCAGTTCCTGGTTCCCCCCCCTCCAGCGATTGCCCCTTCTCCTCCCCCTCCCCACCCTGTCCCGTCTGGTGTGTCTCACGTCACCCCCCTCTCGTCGGTTGTCCATGCTGAGGAGTCTGCTGACTCTCACGGCTCGGCAGAGTCCCTTCCCCTGCCTGTCCCCGCTTTGGTTTCTCCTCCCCTGTCACCGCCCTTGCTGTCACAGCCGCAGCCGCCCCCGCAGCTGCCGTCGCCACCGCAGCCGAAGCTGCCGTTGTCACTGCCGCTAGGGTTTGTGCGTTTTGGGGGTGCTGGGGAGCGTACTGGAGTGGGTACTGGAGCGGGTTCCCATTCTGGGGGTGTTGGCGTGGAGCTTCTCGG